TCTCGTCCACAGGGTACGACAACCTCCTGAACCGTGCGCTTGAAAACGTACTGCTGCAGGTCCATCGAATCCTCTGTTCGCATCTCGATCTTGGCTATCTTGAGATTCTGGACCACTTGCTGCACACTCTTAATGTCGCCTCCTGGTGTCGCAGTCAGGGCCATGATCCGAATATCGCGGTTCAAGGGATCCAGCAACCGGATGACCTCAGAGTAAGCATACCGACCTGTCGCTCGATGCGCCTCATCGATCACCAAACAGACAATCGACTCTGCGGGGCAAATTCCAGACTTGATATCGTTCTGCACCACCTGCGGCGTACAGAAGATGACACGCTTACTGAGCCACATTTCCTTGCGCAGTTCCGAGTTCTGCTGTCCTGTCATTTCGGCTGTGTCCTCCTGAGGGATGCCGCAAATATGAAAGCACGCCTCGATCTGCTGGTTGACTAGTGGTCGGGTGGGTGCCATGAATATGATCTTGGACTCTGGGAACCATCGAAAGTAGTTAAGCATGACTACTGCTGCAATAAACGTCTTTCCAAGACCAGTTGGAAGCGAAACCAAAGTGTTGGTGAAGAGTGCACGACGAATGATGTTGTATTGGTAATCACGCTTCGGATAATTAATCGGGTATTGCCACGTCAAGGTCGCCTTCTTGTCGATGGTATGGTGAGTGGGAGGCTGAGCTGGTTGTCCAACTTTTTCCTGGCTCCTAAAGATGTCTGTTGCAAAGTCGTTCAATGGGTCGGATCGAGGAATAATGTTGGAGCCTTGGTGCGTTGAAGTCAAAGCTGGGGTTTGCTGCGCTATACTAGACGTCCCATTCGACGAGGCACTGTTTGAAAAATACGGAGACATATGGCTGTTACTCCCAGCTCTCTCAAAATCGCTGCCATTCAGGTTATTTGTGCTACCGTTGCTTCGCGCCAAGTTAGCCTTGGTGTTCTTGAGGGTGGCAGTAGAGGGCGCCCGCTGTAGCGTCTTGTTGTTGTTGATACTGGGCAGATTTTGATTTTTTGTACCACCAAAAATAGGGAACAACTTCATAGGTGCTGGTGCTGATGTCGGCGCTGGAGCTGGTATATGTGGTTGCTGCGGCTGCTGGACATCATGGCGTGGAGTTCGAGCTGCGGGCGAAAAGAATCCTTGCCGTGTTGGAGCTGGAGCTGGAGCTGGAGGTATTGACTCGTTCAAGAGGTCGTTGTCGTCCAGCATTAGCTCTGCGTCGTCAAAGTCGCCGAAATCGTCAAATTCGTCTCGTGCTGCATCCGAGTTTTTATTGTAATTGCCATGGCCGAGGTCGATCATGTTAGAATGAGACCCGCTGGCGCCGTTGCTAGCCTTGTGATTCCGCTCGTTGTTCGTTGACATGGGTCCTGTGGTGGTTTGTGTGCTATCCAGTATTGCGCCATCGTCCAAGTCCAGTTGCAGCGAGTCAAAGTCGCCAAAGTCAAAGTCGTTGTCAGCAGGTAGCGGCATCACGGCCGCGCTCTGTGGATTCTCGCGTGATGGATGAGGTGTGGGATGGAAGACGAATAGATGGGACGGAGGAGACAAGTTATTGCTAAAACACAAGGGTCACGCATCACACAAAATTGGTGGCAAAACATCGATGCGCAGTGGATCTGGCACACATTTCGCGCTTCATAGACTACTTGAAAACCAAAAAAAAAAAAAAAAAAAAAAAACATCTCGTATGCGCGTGCTCCTTGAAGCCACTTCATTGCTGTTCAATCCTGGAACACACTGAGCATGGCGCATAGCATCTCCCACGCAGCAGATAAAAAGTATCCTCGTTTAAACAATCCTTTATTGAGATGTGAAAAAGTAATACGTTCCTGGACTAAAGGTCCTTGGTCATCTCGTAAATCAGATCTGCAGGCTATTCAATAAAAAGTTAGCCATCAAAGAAAAAAAAAACGATTATTAAACATGCCACAGCGATACACCAGAAAGCAATTGCATCGCCATTGAGGAAGGCCACTACAAAAAAGTAACTCACTCGACAGATTTTTGCCTTTTGCGCAGCCCAATTGACGACGATGGGTCTCTGCATCAAGGCAGGGTTTTCCGCAACAACCTTTTGCGCCTCAGCAATGCTCGATACCTTGGGCGCGTCCTTTCTCAGGAATTCCTGGCAGATCTTGGCAGTCTCCTCATCGCTCTCACCTTCACGGGCGCCGAGAAAGATCAGGATCTGCTTCACCTGCTCGGGCTGGAGAGGGTTGTACTTGAACTCGACCTTCTCGAGCTGGAACCCCTTGCGCTCAGCTTCGGCCTCGAGAAGAGGCGTGGCGCTGACGCAGGTTCCGCAAAGGGGATTGTGGTAGAGGGTCAGCGATGCAGCAGTGGTCGACATTGTCAAGAATCTGTTGATGAGGCGAAACGACAAAAAGGTAGGACGCGTGAGAAAAAAAATGCTACGAGTGCCATTGTCGCTTCAGTGCTTTCATTTGTCGAACACAAAGAGTCTGCGACCTTCTTGTAGGCAGGTTGACGATCTGACGAACCTGTGTAAGACGAATGGAATGAAGAATCGTGGTGGTGGTGTTTGGTTAAAAGTGGTGAAGACAGGTAGCGAAGAAAAGAAAAAAAAGGCCAATTCATTTACCAGCGCGACAAAGATGTTTAATTGAGCACAGAGGATTCCAGGCACACACCAGATAGAACGATAATCCTAGATTATGCTACCAGTCAGGAAACTCACCGAAGGAACCATCCTTTGTGACCTCCAGCACCTCCATGAACCGGAACTTTTGTCGGATCAGGACTTTTGCTTCCTCCTCAGCCAGCTTGCTCCGGCTATCGAGTCTGAGCGACAGCTTTTCGAGGAATGGCCGTTCTTGATTCAAATCCTCCTGTAGCCGCAAGTCGCTCTCAGAACCCAGGTCCGTCAACGCGCCAAATAGCTCGCCGCTCCTCCTCTGAGCTCCTTGCTCTTCCTGCGGCGATGGCTGCAACGACGCTGGCTCCAGGTCTTTTCCCAAGCCATCGAACAACATCAGGTCCATCAGAGCGTAATTCATTGAGAGCTCGACAAGCTTTGGCAACGACTTAATCAGTTTGGTGACCGTCTTCATCCCTTCAGCGGTGCAGGCCCTTTCGTCGAGGTGCAGTGTTGTCAGGGTCCTTGTCCAAGCAAAGCTGTCGATCAATGACTCGGGAATAGGTTCATATTCTGGCACGAGTGCAGTTGGTGCCGTCATGACGGATCCTTCAGCTTGGGTCGCTTGGATCGTTTGGATCGTTTGGATCGCTTGCTGATCATCCTGCTGTGTCTCCTCCCGCTGTCCGACCGGAGCAAGCACCTCATATTCGAATACCTCTGTGGGCTCCATAAAAATACAGTCAGCTGTACACCTCAACTCTGTCAACTCTCGGCAACAGCTACTGGTCAAGAAACCTTTCAGATTGATGTCCTGACTGTCCCACAAATCGAGCCGTAACTGTCTAAAGGAAACGCCGTATTCTCCGAACAAAGTACTCAGTCGGATGAGACCATCCGCCGTAGTATAAAAAGCGACCAGATCCAAGCTTCTGAGCTGATGACCTATGCGAATACCCCTCTTGTCGTCAACATGGGCTGGTCGATCGCCCAGAACCCAGCGCAGTGCTTCAAAGTCGTCTAGGTTTCCCCCTATAGCCCTGAGATGAATCAAGTCCGGAAACAGCAATGTTGTATTCTTCGCATTCATCGCCTTAAGATCGTCCAATGCAGCGCCTCGAATCTGGTCATTGGCCGTATCCTGCTCCATGAAGCCATCCGAATGTAATGAAATGGGAGCATACCTAAAGTCCCGTATATTCGGAAACAAGGACAGTAGCAGCTGCTGAAAATCGCTACTGATGTCTGCGTTGTATATTTCAAGCGTGTGCACGCTGGGATACAACTTCCTACTCCCTTGCTCCCTCCATTCCTTCAAAATTTGATCCAGTACCTCGTAGTCTTCTTCTCTATCAACGTGCAGTATATCAATTTCCAAGGATAACGCCTTCAACCGCGGCCATGCGTCCAGTGAGCGTATAAAGGCTTTGAATCCCAAAGTCCGACTACTCTCGATAGTTACTGACGTCAAGCCAGGAGTGTGAGCCGCAATTGCCGCCAGAAAGTGATCCAACTTCTCCAAAGCAAAGTCATGGACGTCGAATGTAATGGACCTCACCCAGGGCAGAGACTCGTAAAATGCAAGCCAAGTAAGATCGACTTGCGAGAGCTTGTAGTCGCTATTACCGCTGTTGCCGTTGTTGTCAATTGCACTGGCTCGGCTCTCGGACGACGCCCGTGGGGATGCTAAACCAAGTTTTTCGAGACTCTTGAGAAACGAGGTCGACAGTTTGTAGGATGTTATGAGGTTTCTGCTGCTGGGGGTTTGGACAAGTAGTTGGACATCCTGATTATCCGAGAATTCATTGGTTTTGAGTGCCAAGGAGACCAAAGGGAGACAGGCGTCGTTGAAGAACTTGGAGACTAGCCGGAGCCTGTGGATCTGCGAGGACCACAAGAATTGAAAAACATTGGCGGCCAGTTCGGGGATGGCAATGACTCGATGGACGATCGCGACCGGTGCTTCCATGGGATGAATGAGGTTCGAGAGCCCCAACTGTTTCAAGAGCAATTGGGTTTGTTTTTCCAGCACCCCATCCTCATCTTTGGTTAGCAGGCAAGACTACAGCATGAAAGGAAAGGCCGCATGTGGCATACATGTGGCATACATGTGCGAGGTTTATCCATATGCAGCAGCGGGATAGTGGTCCATGGCGCTGTGCAACCCAGTCCTCGACCAACTCCCCTGGACTTTATTCTGGTGGCACCATTAGCATCTGAAATATATGTAAATGCTGTAGAAGTTTGTAAGGAGCCATGGGGTGGCATTGAAAGGCATGCTCTGCCATGTATCGAGTGTCATATGCTAGCAGTACAGCAGAATTTATCCTTCACCATCTCTCTTTCCTCATCGTCCTCCTCTTCCTCATCACTTCTTCCTCATCCCTTCTTCCTCATTCTCAAAACACGCCGGAAAAAAAAAGAAAAAAAGAAGCATGTCATTTGTATCTGTCGAGGAAAATTCATCCCCTCCTACGGTTCTTATCGTCGGGGCAGGAATTGGAGGCCTGACACTCGCGGTGCTTCTCCAGCGTGCTGGTATCCACTATGAGGTTCTCGAACGTGCTGCAGAGATTCGTCCCCTGGGCTCCGCCCTAGCCCTTGGCGCCAATGTACTCCATGTCTTTGAACAGCTCGGGCTCGCGGATGCTATTCTGAAGAAAAGTAAACCCGTTCACACTCGGCGGTCGTACACAGAGAAGCGCGAGCTCAAATACAGCATGGACTATTCGCGTGCAGCAATCCTGTAACGATTTTTTATGGTTTTTTTTTACGCTCGAGAGTAACGGAATGGACGTTTAATAGACCAATGAAGGTTTAGACATGGTTTAACACCCTTCTTGTCCCAAATGTCCTGTTAGATCCGGATATCCTGCCGTGATCATCGACCGGCCCACGTTATACTCGATTCTGCTGGAACAGATTCCCTCGGCCAAAGTTCATATGCGCAAAAAGGTCCTTTACATTTATCAGGACAGCGACGGCTACGAGCACAACGATATCGACACTCATCCTTTTACAAAAGAATCCCTTCAGGGGCATGGGGTGATGGTTCAATGCTCCGATAACTCGCGATATTATGGCGATATTCTCGTCGGTGCTGATGGAGCGTACTCGGGTGTCCGCCAATCCCTCTACAAGCACCTTGGGAAAATCGATAAGCTGCCCGAGTCGGACAAGGATGAGTTACCATTCAACAGCATGTGTCTCGTGGGTCAAACAAGGCCACTGGACGTGACAAAGTTCCCATACCTACAGGGCGAGGCCAGTAGCTTTCAGAGCATCGTTGGCGAGAACAAACCGTACACTGTAAGAGCCATCCATAAAAGCCTGCGATGACCATGCATATATATATATATATATATACAAGCGTTCATGTCCTCACTTCGCGTCCCACCTTGTTGATAGTGGTCAGCATTCTCGACGCGTGCAAACACAATTTGTTGGATTGTGACCCATCATATGGACAAGGAGGCGCGTCGCTCTTGCAACCGGTTCCAGAATTCAGAATGGGGGCCAGAGAAGGCCGAGTCGATGTGCGCGGTAGTAAAGGACTTTCCTATTGCCTGTGGGGGCGATGCTGGATATCTCGTGGCCAATGAAAAAGCAGGGCTGACAATTGGGGACCTCATCAATGAAACCCCCAGGGATTGCATTTCCAAGGTTACTCGTGAAGAAAAGTTCTTCGAGACCTGGTGCTATAAGCGAGTAGTCCTCATCGGCGATGGTAAGTTCTTGGTTCGCGAGTCTCGCTACTATTTTTGCCATTCCTTAGTCTCTGACATCTATCGCTTTCGGCTGCTCCCTTACGTCTCGTGCTATCGCCTGGTTCAGCCTGCCACAAACTCTACCCATCCGCTGGTCTAGGAGCTGTGAGCGCCATTCAAGACGCAACGATTCTCGCCAACGTCCTGCATGATCTGCTTTACCCAATCACCTACCCGGCTTCGCCACCTTTGACATCAGCAACGCTAACGGCAGCCCAGCGCTCATCCGACGCTATATCAATGGCATTCCAACTCTACAGAGACGAGCGTTTTCCGCTCGCCAAGTCGGCGTTCGAGACATCTCATCGAATGGGTGCATTGATTGGCAAGTCCTGGATCAACGACGTGATCCGTGCCTTGACACCGTATACACCGACATGGTTGTGGGAGAAGCAAATGATGAAAATGTTCGGGTATAGACCACAGGCGTCATTTTTGCCCAAGGTGCAGGATAATGGAGAGATCCCGCCTCTGAGTCAGCCAAGTTTGGAGAGGGCGGAAGAGAACAAGCGAAGGGTGAAGGCGAGAATGGAACGTGAAGCAGCCATTTCTGCGTGAACTCAGTTAAAAAATCAACAATAAAAGAAACACAAACACACATGGAGAACACCTGGAGGTTTTTTTTTCTTTCTGTGTTTGTTCATCTTACTGCTTCTCTATCTAACTTGCCATTGGTTCCATCATTTAGACAAATAATACAAGAAAAACCGTTCAATCGACTTTGTTGAGTGTCGAGAGATATAGGAGTGTTTATTACGAGTTAATATTTTGAAGAAATAGGACGAATGCGTATATGTGTATGCAAATAGATGCGTTATGTAAATGAAAAATGTACAAGCTAGGGACTACAACATTCTTCAAGCCCAAAGCGCGATCACCGCCATCGAGAGCGCCCCCAACCACACCGCGACCAAGTAACTAGCCTTGCTGGCCTTGGTCTCGGCACGGAACCTCTCCGAATACAAAATATCACCTCCCAAGAGCGTGACATAGGCCGTGTACAACAACACACCGCATGCGATCGAGTTGAAGACACCCATCGTTATCAAATTCTCGACGCTGCCGGCTCTGTAGGTCGATCGCACACCCATACCAATCGCTACACCGAGTGGTGTCACCAACGCAAAGGCCAGGACCAACAACACTGGGACGTACTTCTTGCGGAACGACAGATCAGCGATACGGGATCCCAGTGCGATACCCTCGAAAAACTGGTGGAAGCAGATCGCGATGGTCATGGCCAGGAACTCGGACCCGGCAAGGACACCGAGCGCGATTCCGATAAAGACAGAGTGGAGGGCGATACCGATCTCGAGCATGTAGGTCGATACCTTGGTCGAGACACCAGGACCGCATTGGAGAAGCGTCAAACCATGAGCATGGTTGCAGTCATCGATGCCCTGACCGGCGGGTCCAACAGCAGCAGCAGTTTTAGGCGAGGCAGAGTCGGAATCACTGTCCACCGAGTGTTTGGTCTCTTTCACTTTTTGGCTATGCGAGTTCCAATGGTCGTGGGACTCGAGATCACCACCAGCAGCAGCAGCAGCAGCAGTTGCCCTGTTCTCAGCTTCGACATTAAAGACAAGAGATGATGCCAAGAATTCGATCACGAGCATGGTCAGACCGGAGACCATCATAATCAGAGGTGCGTAACCTGGGTAATCCTCCGTCCATGCGGTAGAGAGACAAGGGTGGGTCAGGGCGAAAAGAGCTTCGGGCATGATGTGAACGAACGCGACGGAGAGGACGACACCGGCACCAAAGTACTTGCCAACCTGGACTGCGAAGCGGGTCCGGGGGTTGTCATGGATCATCATGGGCAGAGCGCATCCCAGCCCGGCAATGACCGTGAGGACGATGAGGGCGACGATGTGATGCCAGACAATATATTCGCCGTGGTCATGGCTGTGTGTTTCACAGGTGCTGTGGTGATGCCAGTCAGGGACGAAAGAGGTTATCAGCATCAGTATACCTGGTGGCAAAAAAAAAAAAAGGTTGCGTCGTCAAGTGAACTTACCGAGCAGGTCCGTGAGAGTGTCCTTCGGCGTGGTCCTGGTCGAGGTTCTCGTCGAGGTCGTGGTCATGGTCATGGTCGTGAGCCGGAGCCGTGGGGGTAGGGCTAGTAATAGGCGCAGCAGAGGTAGGGTGGTCGTGGTCGTGGTCGTGGTCATCGTCAGCCCTCTTCTTCAGAGCCAGTGTCTCCGAGTTGAGGCCGGTGTTAGATGGCTGTACGGAGCCGTGGACGACGAGGACAGCGGAGGCTGAAGAGGTGGTAGGAGCATGAGAGGCGAGCACAAGCACGGCTGCGAGGACCGCAAACTTGCAAGAGAGCGACAATTTCATGCTGGAATGGAGAAGGGATGTGTGCAGGAAGGAGGGTTGTGTGCACTAATGAATAAAAAAAGAATTGATCGATGGTATCTCGGAGGAAGTAGAGAAGAGTAGAGAGAGAGTTTGCAATCAGATTAGATAAACATGACGGAGGAAGGTGTTTACCGAGGATTCAACAAAAAAAAGGGGGGTACCTGTGCGGCTCCTTTTATAGGCGATCCAGAGACTTGCCCGAAATAAACACCTTCCTGGGTACACGGAGATTCTCTAGAATATGTGGATGAAGATGAGATCCAATTCGTGACCCACAAGGTACACGCAATACTCGAGTACCTTTCCAGTTGCAAGGCGTTCAACCAGCCAGTCGTCCCAGCACTACAACACTTCCGGCCCTGCGCAGGGTACCTCATTAGTGGCGCTTCTTTTTCATTTTTGAGTTCCGGACACAGCTGAAGTTTGTGTTTCCTCCTCAATTGAAAGTAAGCGCAGCGCCGTTGTAACTTGCGAGTATTCTATCTGCTGGATGGCGCCATACAACAAATTACTACCATTGCGCCGCTTTTTCGTTTTATTTTTTATTTATTTGGCAAGAACAACTGGGTTGATTTGCAGAGGCATCCTACAATAAGGACGCGTCGTGCGCGAAAAGCCCACGATCCGGCTACTGATCTGGTCAAAAACCAGTGCCTAGCCTCCTCGCCTTCCACTTGAGCACTGGCCGTCATGGGAATATAGCTGCACGATGGCGAATACAAGTTGCTTCTCGGAATGCTTTACGCCCACTCTGTATAGCTCAGGCAACTAGCATGTATTGAGAGTCCTTGTCGGCGTATGAAACGCATACTTGTCTCTCTCTCGCTAGCGGGCAGTGTTGCAATTGCGAGCAACAGGGCTGTCTAGCCAAGATTATATGTTGTTGAGCGATAATTTTCAGTCATCTCTGGATCAACCCCACTTTAAAGTCCGACACTTAGAAGAACATAGACCTAGGGCTAGAGATATGCATGAAACCACAAGGAGCAATTCTCGAAGGGGGTTTGCTTTGTTCTTGTTTTTGGTTTTGTTGTTTTTGCCTCTCAAGCTCGAGAAGTATCCATTGGTATTGACCGAGGACCCGCATGAACTTCAGCTTCTGAAGCACTACAGACAAGAGCAGCTCGGATTCGAACTCGGTATCCGAATGGCTGTATTACCTCTGCATGTGGGTTTGCAGTATTGCTATGGCAGCCCATTCAAGTTTTAGGGAGGAGAACAGGAAAAATTCATACGCCTCAACGAGCGCATTTTTACTATGTCACCCAGTTCGCAATAACTCATTTTACCAATCAAAGACTTCCCTACGCCAAGATTCTCGATCGGAGAGTCCCCTATCTCCCAGTCGATCCATTGGCGTGGAGCAGTGCTGCAGTGAAGTGCCTTATGTGAATGAATGAATGCATTGATCAACGAGCCTCAAGTACGCGACAGAGTAAGTGCACGCCAGGAGAGATATGTATCCCAGGCTAGGTATCTTTGGAATGGCGTGGTTCTATTCATATCATACACATGAAGAGATCACGGATTATTACCTGACTCTCATGGGCGACTATCCGGAGCTGGTGGTCTTTGTGCCTTCGATTGGCAAGACCGCCGAAGGACGCGACATCTTTGCCGTCAGGATCACTGCAAAGGACTCCGATGGCTCTGTGACAGAGAAGCCCCAGGTCTGGGTACAAGGCCTGCAAGACACACATGGGATGCACCTTTTTGCCTGTTTGCCAAACCCATGGCGGTAGTTGTTATTAAGAAATGATTAATATTATTATTAAATTAGAGGGACGCTGATACACCCACTCATGGTGCCACTACATCAACGAGGGCCACGTTGACTGCGTTTTATGGAAGGTCGACTTCCGGAAGACGATTACGGCGATAAATTTAAGGTGCATGATACCACCTCGCGCTATCTTTCCCAGCCAAAGAGAAGACGCCCCGCTGCCATGTCCTGGAAGAGCTGTAACGCAAGCAAAAGTGCCGCACCTTCCCTTTTCCCTTTGTCTCCGCTGAGGAAAACGAGGGTGCATGCGTCAGCATGATACCCATTAGTAAGGTGCATGCCGTCCTCGTGGGAAGAAGGGCGGGGAGTACAGGGCAAGGAGCACGTGCGAATCACCCGCACAGACTCGCTGCAAGCGTGTGAAGGTTGGTTTTGTACGATGTAACCCGCATTTTCTATTTTATGGTGATGGGAACAAGAGTCACGCGGAGAGCCCTGGTTATCTGCGTATCAAAAACCGGCTGCTGCCACGATCACGCTCCTCATTCCTCCTCACCTCATCCCTTCCAGACCTCTCCTCATTCAACGGTAACGGCAACACTCGTCTGCGGCCGAAAGACGAAGCACTTGGAGGCATCCGAGTGTTTATTGTGTCTAGTGTGTGTCTATTGCGTCTAACCATATTCTTCCTGCTTGACACCTGCTTAGCTCGACCAACGGAACACAACAAGACATGTACGAGGATTCAATACCACACTACCCCACTCACTACCACCACAGTGCACACAGTCATGATCAGCCACAGCGACAGCAGCAGGAACAGGATCCGGACCAGGAGCTCCAAAGGCTGCACCAGCACCAACTCCTGATCCAGCTTCGCCTGGAGGTTAATTCTCTCCGCACTCAAATCCAACAACTTGAACTGCTGAAGCAGCAGTTAATCCACCAGCGACAATTCATGCAGCCCGCCGAGTATGAGCAACTGATGGATCAATTCTCCAGAACCACAGCCTCCCTGTTGAGGGTCGGTCATCCAAGTCACTTTGGCGACAGCGCCACCTGCCAGGGACGGACAATAGAACGCGGGATCAGCGGCGCCACTAGTTTCGGAGGATCGGACGGCTTTGGGGACTCTGGAGGAGGAGGATATACTGGTATGCACATGATGGCGAGACTGCAGGATAGACTGAGAAGCATGACGCTTCAACAACAACATCAACAGCACCAAGAATACACACATAAGCAGCTACACCAGTCCTCTTCTACATCCTCATCAGCAAACCAGAGTGGGGCGAATAGTCCTAAGAGAGATCCTGTCAGGATGGAACAGATCAGCCTAGAGGCCGAACTGAGGGATCTTGAGCGACGCATGCGGTCAATACAGTTGCTTCGATAAATAAAAAATGAAGCATAAAATAGTCATTTCAAACAATCCAGATGATTTAAAAGGAGGGAGGGGAAAGGAGGAAGAGGAGAGTACCATGGCTTGCAACCTGTCCGCGGTGTACTCTGCACAGTCTTTGCTCTTCGGAGCAAGACTGACCGATGGCAAGCCGACTTTTTCTTATTCCTATTCCTATTCCTATTCTTTTTCATTTTCTTTGTTTCTCGATCTTCGTCGTCTCACTTTCTTCAATTGCTTGAGCGACTGGGAGAGGGGGCAAAACTGCTTGAAAACTTCTTACATTTCATATTTTCACTCTTAAATGTAATACAGCTTCAGCAATTGGCAATTGGCCCTTAGTGAGTGAGGCCCAATCTCAATGGCCTTACTTAACCTGAAGTGCTCGTCAGAGACACTGATAAGTCGAATGCTCAGCCAGAAAAAATAAAATTCTACAGTTCACTTGCATGTGTCATTTTCGTCATCAAAAAATATTTGCAAGCGACGCTGACATGTATTATGGACTAGACTATGTAGATTACTTTTTGTACGCACGTTTAAATCGTGAGAAAATAAAAGAGCAGTAGTAGGAGAGAGGGAGGGAGGGAGGGAGGGAGGCATTATCCTAAACTATGAAAAAAAAAAGGGTGGCCAAGTCATCCTTTAGGCCCACTTGCCGACAATAGCCATGGCCATTGCACCCAACCAAAGTGCAGTAAAATGGATGACCTGGTGACGGAAGCTGGCCTCCCTGAACGCACGATTCGCATTCATCTCGGTCGACATGAGCTGGACCATGGCGGTGTACAGCAAGATACCCGCAGAGCATGAATCGAACACGCCCTGGACAATCAGTGCCGTGACCGACTCTCCGTCGTAGGTTGTCCTGATACCGATGCCGATGGCAATACCCACAGGCGTGCTGACTGCAAACCAGGCCGACAGCAACCAGGGACTCATGGAGCGACGCGAGAAGTTGAGAGAGGCAATACGACCGCCCAGAGCGACACCCTCAAAGAACTGGTGGAACAACAACGCGATGAGCAGTGATACGAACTCAGCGCCGACGGTCGTGCCGAGCGAGATACCGATGATAACCGAGTGCAATGCGATACCGAATTCGAGAATGTAGGTTCCAATCTCACGGGACCGGTTCTCTTGTTTCACTTCGAGCTGCTGCTCCTCCTCACTACCAATGAGGGTGACGTTGGTCGAGTCCGCGTGTGTGTGCTGCTGGTGCTGGTCCAAGTGCTGGTCTTGGTTGTTCTTGTTGACCAGTAGGATCTCTCCGCCATGGACATGTCCCACATGCACACAGGGGTCGGCAGCATCTGGTCGGCTAAGGTGGGCATCAACAGCATAGCCGCGGTTGCCCGCTTCGAGACTGTCGGTGTCGGACACTTTCTTCTCGTCCCCGTCGAGGTCTTGCAAGCGGTCTACAGCATGAACGCGGCCAGACTGCTGTCCACGCTTCTGCTTCAGCTCCTTGGCACGGTTAAAGAACCGCTGCGTGGCTGAGAACTCGAGCAAGTGGAGGAGCATTGCTGAGAGCATACCAATCAAACCTGCCCAGCCAGTGTAGCCACCCTCTTGGAAGACTTCAGGCAGACTGGGGTCAGAAAGGTTACTAAAGGCCGAGGGTAGCATGTGGATGAAGGCTGTAGCCAAGATGACGCCGGAACCGAACGTGCGCGCTGTCTGGATCACGGAGTGGATGCGAGACGTGGTCCGGGCATTGAAGTTTGTGTAGGCAAAAAGGATTGGGAGCAGCACTAGAGAAAACACGAGCAGAAGATAGAATACGTTAAAGTGAGAGTATATTGGGCTACTGTAGCATCCATCCTGAGGGCTAGGAGCGCCGCGAACTATGTTTACTTACCACCCAATGTACTAGCAGCCATGTTGGCAAAAAGACCTCCGATATGCAAGGACAGGTTGTAGTCCTCAGCAATGTCAGGCGTGGTGGGATCTGCGTTGGACATTTTCGATTATCTTTTGTTGTTGAATGAAACTAAAAGAGACTGTGGAGGTGCAGGGGTATGCAATGGTGGGAGGGCCTGGGAGAGTCTAGAAAATACGCACACACCAAGGGGAGACGCGAACAGGCAGCAATAAAGACGTGCACGGGGGACGGGACCGAAGCTAGAGAAAGGAGAAATGGAAGGACTTTGATTCCGATGCGGACAAGACAGTCTGGAAACCCGCATAGACGGCGCTCCTTTTTATAAGCAGCTGCGTGCTAGGACGCTCTCTGTGCACCCCTACCGGCCAGAGAGAGTACCCTACAGGGCACTGGTGGGGTACTCCTTCTCAGCCCAAAGTGCTGAAGCGTCAAAACGACGGCAGAATGTCCAAAGACTAAAACCTTTTTTTTTTTTAATCTACAATAAGCCATGCAATTACGCCCATGTTTATCCATCTTGGGATACATGTACATCTCCCAAAGCGCCTTTTTGGAAAAAAAAAAAGAAGAAAACACGAGCCGGCTACACTGGCTACACTGGTCGGCTTACAATATGATCGCCTATACCGCATCGCAGTGTACCAGAATGAGATCGTTTTTCGTAACGGAATAGATCCCCGCCTTGACAGATGGGACACAATGCTCCTCGGAAAATGTGCGCCTAGATTTTTATTCATTTTTTTTTTTTTTCCGAGGGTCTTGCAAGGATCTAGACCTTGTAAAAAGATGAAGATGTGATTCGTTCCTTCCGTGCCAGAGGCGAAGGCGGACGAAACTATGGACCGAGTATTATAGATGAATAGGCTAGATTTTTTTTACATCTTCGAGGGAGGTTGTCTCTTTTATTGTTTAAGCTGTGTTTAGAATAGTTCGGGTTTAATATGTCATCGTATAACCAAAGCGCATCCCCTTTATTCAACGGCTTGGATTACTAAAGCGGGTTTTGAGCAGCGTACAGTGCCAAGGTTCTAATAGCGCGCAACGCACTTATACCAGCACCTTGAAGAAAATGTGACTGTTTCAAAAACTGGCTCGGCTTGAATACAACGTTCTCCTGGCCCTTCGCGTCCAGAGGTGACATGGCCAGTCCAAAGCTGTATATCTCCTTGCCTGTAGCCGACTTTGCCTTCGAGAACCATTGACTTGCCGACCCCGGAGTTCCGGCTACCATCTTGATGCTGTATGCTCGGTAAAAAGGGTCTGATTCCGTGCCGAAAGCGTCAACCATCAGCTTGCGCACAGTCTCGTATTCCTCAGCCTTGTCCTTCGGGAATGGGTCGGCACCGCCGGAGCAGCTGACGCCGTGGATATCAAGAGCTGCGATGATGTTCTTTTGCTGGAGAAAATACGCCTGCAGCGCCTGCACCTCCGGCTCCGAGGCTGCGTGTGGGCCTGGGAACGTTTCGTAACTCTGGAAATCAACTGAAGCATCAGTCCCAGCGGTCTCATCCCAGTTTCTATAGACGAGGACAACATAACCAACAAACAAATACATGAAAACCCCTCCCCCCCCAGATGAAAATTGGACACTGGTCAGCAACTCTGCTTGCATGCGGACCAATTTAGAGCGATCTCTATATCCCCGCGAACGCACGACACAGACGATGGCGCCACGTACCTGTTGAGATCCACACCCCACGACCCGTGGTTGCCGGCTTGACGGCGGTTCTTTCGCCAGAAACGGTTCGTAGTCCAGGTATGATGGTAGCCGTCCACGTTGACGATAGACACGATCACAAATTCGATCTCGTCGAGGGCTCTGGTGATGTTCGTGTCCCGGCCATACATTTTCAGCAGATTGTGCGATATAACTTGGACTACAAGAGCACAGAAGGCAGAAAGAATAAGAAGAGAAGAGGGCAAGAGGGACATGCAGATGACGGCGTTAGACGACTGGCGCTTAGCAGTAGCCGGACACTCGGACGCCCTAGGGCGACATAGGACACCAAACCCTTACCGATGGTACCGCTATCCCACTCTCGCGCGTGCTGGCTATAGATATGGAAACGATGCTAGCGTGTCAGCAAGGGACCAAAAACAGCAAAAGCAGAAGCAAAAAAAAGCAGCACTCGCAAACAGACAAAAAAAGGCGCATCCCATGTGTGTCTTACAGGCCTTGTATCCAGACCTGGGGCTTCTCTCTCACAGAGCCATCGGGGTCCTTTGCAGTGATCCTGACGGCAAAGATGTCGCGTCCTTCGGCGGTCTTGCCAATCGAAGGCACAAAGGACATCAGCTCCGGATAATCGTCCATGAGAGTCAGGTAATAATCCTTGATCTCTTCATGCGTATGATACACACTCCACCAGCGTTTTACATCGACCCTAGATGGCTTAAGATGCTTCACGCCCTGGGCTCGGGAACCCTCCAGTCCAAACTTGGCGTTCCATTGGTCAATGCATTGATTTATAAGAGCCAGCAGCTTGTCGCTGTCCGGATGCTCTTCCACATTCCAATGGTAACAGCTAGAAAGCTCTCTTTCCATGTCTTGGTTCCATTTCTTTGGATCGGCAGGTCTGAATTCCATCGATGGTTCCGTCCGCTGCCGCCGCAAGTTCCTGATGTTCTCAAAGTACAATTCACACTCTGGATAGTGCACTGTTCCGGGATACGATTCGTATTCGTTGACAGCTTCGGCCACCTCGTCGGCAGTCTTCTGAAGGTTCGGGTCCACCACGAACCAGTCCGCAGGACCTCCACCCACATCACCCTTGTCGTCGACGGATTTCTCGGACCCGACCTCGTTCTTTACATCAAAGCTATATTGAAAATCCGAGTGGCGGTGTTCTCCCCCTAGGTGGGGGTTTCTCATCTTGAACTCGACGATTCCCTTGCGCGCCATGGCTTCCTGGAAGAGCTGGAATTGTGAGGCATCCAAGTGTGCGAGAACACGCCCATCTAGGTGCCGAGTCCAGACATCCAGCTGCAAGAGAAAGGACTCGACTAGATCACGCCCGACTTGCTTGTAGTGCTCTAGGAGCTGGAGTTCATGCGGGTCCTCAGCTAAGACAATGTCGTGGTGCTCCTGAGGATTGAAGAGGACCAGTGAATGGTTCTCTAGCTCGGGAGGGTACTGGACTACGAAGTTCCGGGAGAGCATCAGACCACATAAATATTAGTTGCAGATCTTCACCAAGCGCCTGTTTTTTTAAAAAAAATAAAAATATTTACTCTTAATGATCGTAGAAAAATTACTGAGGCCCCACTATCCAGCCTTAACAGGATCCCATCCCTTGAAGATGGATTTACGGAGCGTAGGGCGCAGACAGATGTCTGGGGTCATGGTTTTGTTGGTTGGCAACCCAATGGTTGTTGTTGCCAGTAACAGCGCTGCCAGCGAGAGGGAAATAAGCGAGTTCTTCATGCGCCTTCAGGAATTTCGGAGAGGAAAGTGATGCTGAGGGATGAGAGAGCAGAGTGAAGGGCAAGGGGGGGGAAGGGGGGGGGGGGGGGAGGGAGCGGAATAAAAATTTGGGTTGGTTGGTTAAAAACGTCTTTTTTTTTTTTCTTTTTTTTCCCCATGAAAGCAAGTGCTCATATGGGACATGAGGTAATTATGCATTGGCTGTAACTGCGGAGCAGGCTTGAAGGCGCCAAGGTCTGGTGCGTAGCTGGATCAGGGGGAATCTTCCCTGTAGACAACGCGTTTTGAACTCAAGCTTAACCTACGACACCACGTGGGCAATTTGCCCTGTCATTAAGGGACATGGTAGCGAGGCTGGAAGAGATGGACAACTACGGACCTTCGGTTATAATCGCTAGCAATGCTTTTTTTCCCCCCTTCACGCACAGCTATCCTTGACTATCAACCGCTTCACTGAACAACGTGGAGAGCAGCAACGGCGCATTTTATTCAGTCCCCAACCTGTTCACGAAAAAAAAAAATTCGTGTTCACACTGTCCGTGTGGCATATAGCCTATTTTACACGCTTGCTTCTGTCTAGACTGAGTCCAGATAGTAACTTAAACCACCGAGCAACAAGTAAGTCCTCGGTCGCTGTGATCAAAGATCGCTCTCTCGTTCTCAGCCCTAATGAATTTGAGCTGACCCAACTCCAGCTTCTTCAGTGCCCTCCACGGCCCAAGGAAGCGTAGAAAGTCCCCAATTAGTTCGCCGCCCTCATTCTCCCTCTCAGCGACGACATCGGTCTCCTCAAACAGCTCAAAGCTGTGCCACCGTACGTTCAACAGATTATCAACGCCGTCAATGAACCTCGGGTTCCAATTTTGTTTCGGCATCTTCCACGCGCACGTCCCATCTTGGCGAGCGAATGCATCCGCAGGAACATCCGGATACATTCTCTCGTCCTCTTCCTCCGCTTCTGACTCGGAAGAGATCAGGTACAGTCCAGCCTTCAGTACCAAAATCTCCAGTTCTGCATTTCGTATTGCGTCTGTAGGTCGACCCTTTAGTTCTCGTCGTTGTCGTCCGTCGATGTTCGTTTGGACACCACTAATGTCGTCTCCGCTCTTCTCACTGCTCGAGCTGTCGTCACCGTCGAAGATGTTGCTGTCGGTCTTCCGTTTCATCATATCCTCCATAATCGTACTCACGTCCGCCTCCCAATTCATGTCCCAGAACTCAAATTTTCGAAGGCGATGACACACCCTCAGTAACCGCCTAATCTCTTGTCCTTGATGGGCCTCGGCAATTGGAAGCCGATGGCCATGATTGCGTATCAGGATTCTGATCTTAAGCACCTCCAAGCTCTCTCGGTGCATCTCAATCGCTTTCCGTGCGTTGTCGTCGAGCACCCAGAGCTGAATGTTGAGCTCACGAAGGCTTCCTTGATATCCGGTTTTGGAATGATTGAACGCGCTGCTACATGCGCGGAGCAGCGCCAATACTTTGGGGTTGTTGCTGACTCGATTTGTTAAAACGAGCTGTGGGAGTGGGTGCGAGAACAGGTGGAGAATTTTGAGCTGCGGACGCGACCATTGCGGACGCTTCCTGCCTTCTTGTTCGCGCTTGATCTTCTCCTTCTTTGTCTCCACCTCCAGCGTCCCCTGCATGATGTGGATGAGGTCCTTGATGGCGTTGATATCCTTGAAGATCAGCTCCAAGTGCTCCAATGCGGGACAGTGTCCGACGATGTGCTCGAGACTGGGCTCCATCAAATTGTTGTCGCAGAGATCTAGGTACTTCACGTTCTCCAAGGTCAAGTCCCCGAGATCGTTCGTTCCCGAGAGATCCCCCAGCGTCAGACTCTGAAGACTGCCTTGTGCAAACGGACGCAGGAGCTGTAGGAGATCAGAGCCGCTTAACTTTATTCGGTGCAACGAAAGCTCTTGTAGTGTCGTCCGGACATGAGCCAGGGGTTCTATGGTACGCGGATTAACCGGAGCCTGGGCGCCTTCCTCCTTCTCGTTTGCAGATGGGTCGTTTGTTTGCTGAGGCGGTGCTGGTTTCCCTGGCATCTCTTCGAAAGGACGGATATTATACAGCTTGAGGCGCTGCAAGTCCTTGTTTGCGCCGATCAACTGGAGCGCGAATGCTGGGCTGAAAGATGCAGTCATGATGAGGAATTGGAGCTGGGTATAGATCGGTGCTTGAAGTTTGCTGTAGTGGGCTACGAAAGGGTCGGTGTAGAACCACCGGAAATGATGGCTGTACATGGTCAGGACCTTCATGGGAACCTTATCCATCGCTTGTGCGTCGTGCACTCGCCATAGGAAGGGCAGCAGGATCTTGCGCCAGAACTTGGAGACACGGCAGCAGCGAAGGAGTGTCTGCGGGGTGTACTTAAAATCCGCGGATTGGCGCTGGAAGACTGGGATGCATTCGCCGACCGCGAATAGAATCTCGGGGTGGTCTAGTGGGTTGATTCGTGGCATGGTGGGATTGTGTTGAGCGTGTAGAGAATGGCAAGTGGGAAGCGGAAATTTTATATCATACCGTTGGCAAAATACGGTCGCCGCAGTCGATTTTATGTCACACATGAAAAAAAAAAAAAAAAAAAAAAAAGATTGACGTGCTGGCATTGCATAACATGTCTCGTTTCATGCAGGCGAAGAAGGAGGAAGGAAGATCAAGAGGAAAATGGAGCTGCCCCTGCTGAGAAAGGATAGAGGTTGTAGCGACCTTATCGCTCCAAGGCAACAGCAACCCAAGCCATGGCAGAGACCGCGAGCAAGCCCTCTCATGGCACGACGACAGCAGAGCGTGTGGGAGCAACTGCTCCTCATGGAGCAAGGATCAGCTCCTCGCACGGACGCCGCAGCAGGACAGTATGACTCAGTAGACATTGGCACAGATAGCGAACTGCTCAAGATAGGCGGCGCCAATGGATCTGACACACTCGGGGGCGAAGCAGTCTGAGCACGGGCTGTTGGGCCAATGTTCCCTTGAGTGCTTCCGGGCAATGGGTTTGTGGAGCAGCCAAGATACTCATTAAAGGAGCCAAGCAGGGACTTGTGGAGAAGAAGGGGCCAGCATCGACCTGTTCTGTTAACCGTCGTTTTCCATCCTCCCCCTTTTTTTCTTTCTTCCACACTGGTCTCTATTAACGTCAGGAAGCGCCTCTGTGGACGCACACTGCCTTACCAAGACGAATAAAGGATAGCCTCTGCCCAATGCTCACTTGTGTATAGCGAACACAGCACAGCATGCAAGACAAGTGTAGCTCGTATAATCATCGATGTCCTCAAAGTCAAAACCAGCCTGATCAGGATCGTTCCCAAGGACGCTCGCACACAAAGCCGCAAAAGTGTTGAATGGCAGCGTCTTGAAACTGCACCAAAAGGATTGTGTGTTGTTCGTCATCGTAGTTGTTTCGGACGTGCACCTTTGCCATACAGTGAATGCCGTGCTTCGTCGCATCCATGCAAAGAGCGGTCAGGATGGCTAGGATGGAACACGCTGTTTTTTTTTTTCTTGTTTTTTCACCTGCTTTGTTGAGCTATCCCATAGTTGAATTTGCATTAATGGAGCAGTCGAATTGCCCATGATGTGCGACCTGTACCAATCATTATTTATGATCTCTTAAGGCCGACCTCAAGCGACAGAGCATGGGTTTTTTTTACTCCTTGCGAGAACTGTGTGTAGACTGTACTGTCACAGACGTATATGGCCCACACGTCCTGCTCGGCCATGTCTGATCCACAGCGTTATCCGTGCTATGCACCTTGGGTTTATGCGGACTGCCCCTCATATAATCGGTACGCGTAACGCGTAAAAAAAAAAACGCAGGTCAGGGCGCAAACATTCTACTGGCGGTTGCGGCTTGGACAGAGAAAATTATTTTTTTCTAGGCTCTCCTTCAGGTCGCCCCTTTCACACTCGGTCAAGAACGATTAGATCTCTCTCCTCTCTTTGTCAACTCATTTGTTCAAAACACCATGTCCGAATCAACCTCCAAGCGGGTCAAGGTCCCCAAGCCGGAAAAGAAAAAGTCCTCCACCACTAGCGCCGTATCCTCAGATCACTCCTCAGCCAACGATACCACAGCAACAACAACAACAACAACAGACGACGCCTTGATCAACATCCCGGCTATCAAGAAAAAGAAGGAGCGCCACGTCAAGACCGAGACCGATATTGCTGCGAAACAGGAACGTAAGAAACTTCGCAAGGAAGCGGAGCAACTCAAGAAGGAGGCCCAGTTGGCCAAGAAGGGACTGGTAGCACAAAAGACCGCGATCCAGAACAAGACCCCGAAATGGAAACAGTTTTTGAAGAACACGACTGAGGCTGATAATGCAGAGCAATTGAAGGATACTACCTATAAGGTCAAGGGCGACGATGGATCGGATGAGGAGGAGGACGGAAGTGATAGCGATGACGATACAAAGGAGAAGAACAAAAAGAGCAAGAGGAAGGCAGACAAGCAAGCAGAGGTCGGTTCTTCAAAGAGCAAAAAGAGCAAGAGCAAGCATGAGAACAACGCTGCACTCACTGCATTAGACACCTCGACACCAGGCAAGTACCATTTTGGAACAGAAGGTTCTCTCACAGTTCCTGGGACTGAAACTTGACTTGTTGGTCCCATGTCTAACCAGACACACTGCTGTCACCAACTCTTTTTAGGCCTGGCATACCTGGTAGAATGGAAGAGATCAAAGGACACATGGAAGTTTCAAAAGCTCCGACAAGTATGGCTTCTCAACCACATGTACGACGACAAGGAAATACCCAGCACCCATTGGAACATCTTTCTGGACTATATTCACGATCTGAAAGGCGCCGCCAGGAACGTAAGTCCTCTGCGATATGAACAATATATCACCTTGTCAATGTTCGCCAGGATTCGCATGGAACTGGAGCTAGAACTAGAACTAGAACTAGAACTAACTGAGGGCACATTTATATGCTATCCCTATCTGTTAGTCTACCATCCAAGATGCCAAGAAGATCGTCGAAGCCCCAGAACCCGAAGACTCCAAGGAAGACGAAGAGAAAGAGAACGGCACAACAGAGGACAAGGGTGAGGACGAGGAAATGAAGGATGCCAGCACAGAAGATTCGACAGTGTCAACGATCCCATTGAGCGAAGAAGAAAAGGCGGCAGAGGAAGCGGCAGAGCAGGCTAAAGTCGAGGCTAAGAGGGCGGCAGAGGTCAAGGCATCAAGAGCATTGGACGTCCTGCGGGTTCTGGCATAGTGGCCCCTCGTCGAACGCCCTATCAGCTCTCCTTTCTGCATCATCTCCTTCACCAAAGCCAGCATAACCACTTTACAGCCATGCATTCTTAATAAATAGAAAAACTGCACTCGCATTTGATATCCTACGTACTTGATCCAAATGGTTGCCCTCACCCTCCCTTCATATATAAAAAAAAATGTTGAGATCACAACAAACATGGTAGTCACATTTTAACGCGCCTTCATGCTCTGAACTCTACCAAACTCTTGCTCTGGCTCATTCCCTCCTACTTCTTCAGCATCACATAAAAACCATGGACAGAAAGCGAGTTCCAGGCCCCGAACTGAGCGTGGCTCCCTTGGTGGAGTACCCTCTCGACCATAAGCGATGGACACCACAGGACGAAACACGCCATGACCCTAAGCGACAGCTCGAAGATATGCGGCCAATCTGTAAGTTCGACTCTCTGCCGGCGAGGGAGGGAGAGGGAAACAAGGCAAACAACAACCACAACTACGAGCGTTTCTACCAACAACGGGCGTTTTTTTTGTCCATTTGGGGCATGGTGAAACGTTTGGGACCTCACTTCTTTTCCCCACTGCAGAAACGACTGGTTCTAAATGACCCGTTCATATGGATGGGGGAGACATTACTTTCTTACGCAAATTCACACAAAATCACACTGCATAGATCTGAAGACAGGATTGATCAGCCAAGCAAACGGATCTGCATATATCGAGCTCGAAAAGACGAAGCTCGCCTGTGGAGTGTAAGATCCCCTCCCGTCTTTGTTTCTTCAATAAATACAATCGACGGCTCTGCCTCAGCTCATTGTTCAATTACTCCACGAAGGACTTACCCTCTAAATCGTCTAATGGCGTAGGTATGGACCAAGACCAGCAAAGAGAACAGGAGTCTTCAGCGGAAAGGGCACCCTAAACTGCGAGATCAAGTTTGCGACCTTCTCTTGTGCCAAGCGCCGAAGCAACATCAGGGTAAACACCCTTTTCTCTTTCTCCTCCGTCTCCTTTTCGTTCACTGTCGTTCCAACCGTATCAACTCTTGTCGTATTGGGTCTTGTCAACTAACACCCATGTCCATATCCATACTCATCTCCTAACAACAATAACAACATCAACAACAACAACAACAACAACAACAACAACAAAAATACAGGACCCACAAGAAAGAGAGCTCTCTCAAATCCTAACTCAGGCTTTAACACCCGCCGTGCGTCTGGATCTCCTCCCCAAATCCGCTATCGACGTCTTCATCACAGTCCTCGAATCCGACGGTTGGGGATCCTGTCTCGCCGCAGCCATCACAGCGGCCTCCGCAGCCCTGGCCCATGCGGGAATCGAGATGTTGGACCTCGTCGCAGGATGCTCGGCCTCGTATATTCAAACGGGATCAATATCATCATCGGGATCGACCTCAATAGGAGCACCGCAGATCTTTATGGATGCTGATCTGGAAGAAGAAAAGTATGAGCAGGGCGCGATCGTCTTGGCTTACATGCCCTCCTTGAACGAGGTCACCCATGTCCTCCAGAGCGGGAAGGCTGAAGGATCGATCATTTCACAGGTGAGGACCGGAAAAAAAAAAACAAAAGAGAGAGTCATGGGGCGCATGATGGATTAATGCGTACGATATAACTGACAATCCTGGGGGCCATTTTTTTTCTCTCTTTTCTGACGAACGACCATAGTCTGTTGAACATTGCGTAGAATCATGCAACAAGATCTACGCGGTTATGCACCACGCTCTGCTGGAATCCATCAACGAGAACAACGCCTCCCACCAATAACACAGCATAGCGCAATAACCTGCGGACGCCAGGAGCATCTTAGAATGGTTCATGCAAGAGGCGGCAGCAGGAATGGAAAAGACCATCAAATAAAACAATCATTATTAACGAATATCATTGAAATCGTCTTTTTTGTATGCCAGGGTGCTTTTTTTTTTTTTTTTTTTTTTTTTTTTTTTTTTGCCCCGCGCAGTGCAAAAGAATGTCCTGTTCGATATGTTTCCTCTTATGCTTCATTATTATCGTCCGAGGACGCTTCCTTAAGTGAATCTCCCTCCACTGCTGCGACATCATCCGCAGCTCCCTCGTCGGATATCCTCTTTTCTGTCTTCTCAGCCTTCGGCTCTGGCGTACCTCCAATCAGGTATCGCATAATATCCGACAGACTGACGATGCCCTTCAGTTTGTTCCCGCTATCGACCACAATCAACCGATGAACTTGTGATTTGCGGATCGTCCCAAAGATCGACGAGAGACTATCGTTCAGAGTACATGTGTGGACGCCCGCGAAATCATCCGGTCGACGGAGCAATGCTTCTGCGACGCAAAGGTCCAAATCTCTGTATACGCCCGCCTTGACTAATGTCTATGTGCGTCGAATGACCAAAAAAAAAAATTCAATTGACATAGATTCCAAGTTAGTCGCTCTATTCAGCCTCCTCTGGTTGCTGCTCTTCGATAGGACACTTTGAGGGCATAAAAGTAAATTGGATTTTTTTTTTTTTTTTTTTTTACCATGACATCCACCGTCTCAAAGACGTTCAACACGACGCCTTCCTCATCCACGATCGGGACCGAGGATATCCTCCGCTTCACAAACATGTCAATCACGGACATCACAGGCGTTGACAGATCAGCGACAGCCAGGTCCGTATAGATCCCAATTTTGAGTTCCGATAAAGGTTGCCGTAACGTCTTTTCGTCCTGATAGTTCACGGCGATAAACTTGAGGATCCGATACTGTGTCAGCACCGATACGATCATTTCCTCTCCTGTCTCTGAATCCACATCCACTAGCGGCAGTCGGTGGGCTCTCGACTCAACCAAGAGTTGACAGGCGTCGTATAGAGATTGAAGTGGGTGTAATGAGAACAGCTCCGGTGGTGGTACTCCAATGACCTTTTCGACATCTGCAAGGAATAAAAAAGATGAAAAAATGAACGGCGACAGCAATGTTAGTTACCACTGCATTCACTTGAATTCCTTTAGAACTGCCCATCGCCATCCCTGGGGAATTGAATTACCTCTGAGTTGAGATATCTGGAACTGGTCCATTTCACGAATGGCTGCCGTGTAAGATGAATGCGAGTAATAAAACTGGATCAAATTGATAAAATCTGTCGCCGTCAACATTCCCGCAAACTTGCGCTTTGTCGAATCCCACAAGGGCGCCGAGACAATATCTAAAAAAAATTGTAAGAGCAAAAAAAAAAATGAGAGGCCACCAAAAAAGTCAGTCAGTCAGTCAGTCAGTCATCTTCGAAACGAGCATTAATAAGTCCCCCCTTGCCAAAAATAAAGATCTCTCACACATACTATACTGCATCAAGACCGAGAGCGCCTTCTTAACCAGCAAAGTCGTGTCCAACACAATCTGTCGATAACTAACCGGCAGCACATCATAAGCCGAATGTTGCTTCAGGAACGACTCCATCACCGCCTGAGTTCCCTGCAATGTCTCCGTATCCTTCTTCTTGCGCCAGGCGGAGTACGATGCCACAGGATCGATATTCTCCGTCGCTGGCCCATCCACAGGCGCAGCTAACAAGGCTATCGTTGCCGCAGTCGATCCCGGATCGGTCGTTGCTGCTGGCACCATCAACGACTCTGTATCGACTGAAACATTTCCTGTGGTCCCATAGTTTACGCTGTTGCTGCTGTTGCTCTTGTTGAGCGCCGTCGTTAATGTTGAAGAGGGCTGGATGGGCACCAGATGCGATGATGACGAAGACGATAGTCGCTGCTCGTCTGAATCAGATAACTGTGCAGCGGATGATGTGCACGGCGACGATACTGACGGTGATAGCACTGAGGAGTTCTCCGCAAGAAATGAAGTCGTGTTCATATTTGGCGACTCTTGGTGCGCAAAATAGTCTACCGGTGCTGCAGGGTCCTGGGTATCTGCCTCCGTCGCCGCTGGGCCTCGAGAATTGACCCCAGCGCCTGTTGCAGACTGAGTAGCTGCATCTCCAGCTTCTGTCGCAGTTGTGTGCAACGAGGCGCCTGCCAGCCCCGAGGCCAAGGCATCGTCCTTGCTGTCCTGGTTCTCTTCGGGGCCACCCATGAGGATGGAATGAGATGTCGAGTGGCGGTAGTCTCCGGGTCCTGCCTGGTTTTTCCTGGGGGATGAATTGCTGTGTAGACTCTGTTGGGGGCGGCGAGGGCAGCTTGCAGGGTTTGTTTGTTTGCTGGGTTGGTTGAATGAGTGGGTGTGAAAGCAAAGGGCGGTGCGTCGGCAATCGACCACAGGGTCCTCAGCTTGAATCCACCCCAGCAAATATGACCAGAGTTGGGGTGTATCGGTGTATCAGTGCGCACGCGCTTATTCGCTTATTTCCTGTCAAAGTTGGCTCGTGCTCTCAACGCGTGTCTGCTTCAATGCCGATAGCACCATCCGACAGTAGCTTCCCTTGCAATCGGCTTTGACAAGGCTCTCGATGCTATTTTTTATTTTTTCTTTGTCTATGAACATGTTTGTTAAAGTCATAATAAGGCTGTTCGTTTACCATTTGCGAGCCCTGGCCTCCTCCTGGCGTCGCACTAGGTAGTTCAACTTCTCCCACACCTCCTCCAGCTTCATCCGCCTGTCCATCAGCTGCAGGTGTCGCCCCACCGAAGGGTTCTCTCTCGCGAACTTCTCCATCGCTTCCTGCCCAGTCTTGACTCCTAGGCGGCTATCAATCATCCTCGGCAGCTGGAACACAAATTCGTTCATCAGCTCTACCTGAATGAACATCACGCTCGTGTACGCCAGCTTCTCAGAGACCATCGCCAGGAACGCCTCGGGGCACTGTGTCTTGTTCTTCGAGCTCCTGCACGTCTTGGACTTCAATGCCGACAGTCGGTATTTCAAGATCAACGCACGGTCCCGGAGTGAGAGGGCCTCGCGAGCCTTGACCAACAGCTTGGGGTTGTAGTGTGGTCGTGTTGCTGCCTCCAATTCGTCCTCGTCCTCCAATGAATGCTCCTCCACGGCTGCACCCTCATTCTCGTCTTCATGTTCGCTGTGTGATTCTTTTGATTCAGAGGTCTGGTTGCTGTCCTCTTTGGAACTAAGATGTTCTTCCAAATGCAGACGAGGGTTCGACTCACGTAACTTGGCAACGGCCTCGCGACGTTGTGACCTCCTGGCCTCCTCTCGGTCGAATTCAATCACATAGTTGATGGCCTTGCGCAACTTCTTGGTTCCGACTGTCGTCTTGATCTTGGTTAATGCCTCTTCACACATCTCCAGTTCCTTCTGCAGCAATACGACGGCGCGCTTGACGCCTTCAGTCCACTCGCTATCGGTGCACTCCACTTCGTACTTGAACGGCTTGATCGTATTCTCGACCTGATCCGCGGTCGCCTGGCTTCGACTACTGAGGATCTCATGTGTCATCGACTTGATGGTCTCTGCTGCATCCGGGTGATAATTAAACGGTTCTGCCTCCGCAAGCTGCTCCATGGTCCTAGACAGAATGTCGACGACACGCTGAGTTGTTTGACGGCCCACTCCTGATTTTGTTAAGGCAGATGATGCCAGGTCGAGCTGTAGGTCCCAGTATAGTCGATCCTCCTCTGCTGCCGAGTCCAGTTGCGAGAGTTCGCTGATCCTCGGGTCGGACCAGTATCTCTGAGCACAAGTATCGAGCATCCGCTGCTCCAGCATGTGTCGAATCTCGAGTCGGACCTGGGGCTTACCAAAGGCTTTTGTAAAATCCTTGAACCTATGCTTCAACTTGTCGACAGACTCGGCCACGTATGATTCGGCGCTCATCCTTTGATCGTTGTACTCGACCTTGAACTGGTATCGGGTCTCGTCCAACTCCTTCTGAACAGCCTTAATAATCGAGCCCAGATTCGAGCCCATGTTCTCCTCTAATACATCCATCAGTTTTCGGCGCAGCGTTCCAGTGCCGACAGCGACACCCCTCTGGCTGAATTGGTAGGCGCTTCGGAAATACGCATCCTCGGTCTTAATCACAGCCTGGGTCATGTTGTCCTTCTTGTCGCCTGTGGGCGCCTTGCAGACTACACCGATGTATCCTAGATGAAGAGGATAATCTTGATTCCTTAAAATGGCCACCCCACGGTCCGGTTCGACGAGATCCATCTTGGTGATAACGCCGATTGTTCGTAACCCCAGGGGATCAACCTTTCGACTGCTACGGAGCGCCTCTGAATTGGCCAAGTCGACATCTGCAGCGCAGACTGCTAAGATGATGTTGGGTTCCTGGATGTATTTTTCGCACAGTTCAGAGATCTTCTCCTTGAGCGAAAGGGGCTGGTTCTTTGACGTGATCTGGATGTAGCCGGGCAGGTCGATTAGGGTCAGGTCGGGAATATTAGGCGAGTAGATGCGGAGTTCGATCGGTTTGGATGAGACACACTCGGATTCGGGAACTGCCATGTTGAGGTCCTTAAGTGTTTGCTGAACGCGTTTAAAGTCGTGCACCTTGCCCAGGCCTAGAGCTGGGAATTCTCCGTACTCTTCTTTCGAGTGTGGCGTGTGGATGAGGGTGAGTTCGATAGGTCGTCGCGTCACCATGTTTGCGCCCCTAAGAAAAAAGATAGCCATAAGTGTCAGAGATACAACCCACCGTCAAAGCCGAGCCATATCTGCACGAAGCAGAAAATAACATTGCAACTTACTTGGGCAAGAACTCATGTCCAACGATAGCCTCTAGAACTGAGCTCTTTCCAGAGCTCTGACTGCCGATGACGACGATGCTTGGCAGCTTCAGGGTATTATTGTGGTCGATAGAATTAAGGACATTGCGGACCTCAATCAACTTTTTCGTCAACAGCATAAAGTCGCCGTCGTGTGGTGGGATTCCTGAGGGTCGAGGGCTATCCTGCTCCTCGCTCCTTGATTTAGCCAATGCTGCGGCAGCTGCAGCGGCAGCTGCAGCTGCAGTCTCCCTGTTGTGCTGAGGGTCCTCGTCATTATTGTTATTATTGTTGTTACCTCCTGAAGACCTGCGAATAGAATGTGGCTCTTCCTCAGCATCGACTCTGTTGGAACGACTTTCGTCTACCATGGCCGACTTTTCATCCAGGCTTGATCTTCGGAAAAGTGGTGCTAGAAAATCGGGCAGCGATAGCTCTGGCAAATGGACATCATTCACCGTGGATTTCACCGAGGTGACGAGATCCTTGACATCCTCTGCAAGTCCCATTGCCCAGTTCGTGCCCTTGTTAGACAGTTCTAATCCGAACAATGATAGACATGACCAGATGCGTCAATAGCTGCTGTGAAAGAAAAATATATCGTATTTTGTAAAGATGTCTTCGAATGGAGACAATATCTTACCTGTGACTTTGTACTGAGCATATGAAAGACCTGCCAAACTTGCTGTGAGGGCACCCATGGGTAATCGAAGGGCATGCATTACGAAGCGCGGTGCGGCCGTTGCGGCAATCCCGCGCCGAGCCATAAGATTGCCCCGTCGTGTACGATAGAACTGTAGGGCGGATTGGCGGCGAGGAATGGTGAACGGAGTGCTAGCCGCGATGTATCGTGGAGGGCGGTTGTTAATAGTGGAGAAGGCTCGGGAGACCAGGCGAGATCCGGTCGCGACAGAGAGCAGACGCATGCGACCTGAGCCGTTGAGACCGCTGGTGCTGTTGAATGGAGGACGCATTCCTGCTGGGTTCCTGGCCGACATATTGGCTGTGGTGGTCGCGGTGCGAGGGGCGGTTCGGAGGACTGCTGCTGTGGATAGGAGACGAGGAGCTGGGTGAGCCCAAGGGCGCTGAAGCCTGGTCATAGCGGAGACGGCCTTGCCTGCAGCAGGTGCGTCTGCAAGCAGCCTCGAGATCATTGGGAGACAAACGAGGAGTGGAACAAAAGAGTGATTCGTGAGAGGGTGAGTGTGTCAATGGAATAGGAAGAAGTGTAGAGTCGTGATGGTCGATCAAAAGGTGCAATGGATGGATGGCGGGAGGGGGAGGAAGGAGAGGAGTATCTTTCCTCTGCAGAAACCGCATGGCACCCACATAGTCCGCATAAGGAATTTTTTTCTTCTCGCAATGAGCGCATGGATCGGGAAGAGGCAGTCGTCGATCTCCGCTTTCAGGCGACCTGTCAGGTGACGGTCTTGGGAAGTGGAGAGAGGACCAGCATCCTCGGAATGTTCGCCGGAGAGCCACTTTTACACACTGAAACCCAGACTAGTTGGCCCTATCGCGTTCTTGCTGTCAGGAGACAGTAACGCGTCGTGGTACGAAGGACACCGACGTAAACAGGGTATGCAGCTCCATATCATCTTTGCATCGTAAAATGTACATGACTTTGGGCAGATTTGTGGGATAATCATGGGAAGAAGGAGGAATGTAGAGGCGTGAGGGTGGTAGGAAGAGCGCATGGATAGAAAATGTACATGATAGCGATGTATGATAGATCAAGTTGCAATTGCTGTTACATTTATTCCAAGAGTGAAGGATGCAGATATGGACAGGGAGAAAAAACAAGTCGCAGGATCTCATTTGTTGGCAGCAAAGATTGCTGCTCCTATTTGAAGTTGTTCTTGAGTTCACGCAAAACATGCATGACATCGATCGGGTCTGTCTTGCCCGTGAATGCCTGCAGTGATGGCTCGCTAAGAGACGAAGAGAAATAGGACAGTTAAATCCATTATTCACTGCTGGGGGGGGAGGGTTTAAAGAAAATGAAGCCGAGAGCGCAAATGCTACATTATACGTCAAGAAGATCAAGAAGACTTACTTGACGCGAAGGAATGGGTTGCAGAGCAGCTCCTCACCAATGGTGCCGGGTACGGTGACAGTGACGCTCTCGTCCATGCACCATTGGAGTTTCTGGGCCACATGAGGGTTTTCCGGCTCAACGTGCTGTGCAAACTTGAGATTCGCCTTTGTGTACTCATGGCCACAGTAAACCTTGGTCTCCACGGGCAGCGTCGCCAGGATATGGAGTAAGCTGTTGTACATGTCCGCCGCCGTACCCTCGAAGAAGCGTCCGCATCCACCTAAATGATAATCGAGTTAGTTAGTTAGTTATTTCGTTTTCGTTTCTGTTCAGTAATGTCATTGCAAATAATTTCATCCGCAGGCCATCCATGCCCATGTCCAGTGTATCAACGCGTCCCGTACTCATTTTTCCCTCATCCACACTTACTCAAGAAGAGAGTATCTCCGGTAAAGACGGCACGATCAGCTCCATCCTTGACATAGTAGCTAACACTGCCCTTGGTGTGGCAATGCGTCCAGAGTGCCTGGACAGTCAACGATCCGACCTTAAATTCTTCCTTGTCCTTCACAACATAATTGATTTCAGGAATCCTGGCATCGGCACCGAAGACTGCCAATCCAGGCTTCTTGGCGATCAACTCGACGTTGCCACCAGCGTGATCCCAGTGGTGATGTGTGCAGAGGACCGAGGTCAGCTTGGCGCCCAGATGTTGGAGGATGTGCATCAGCTTCTGAGGCTGAACTGGATCGACCACAGCTGCCTCGGATGTCTTCTCGTCGAGGATGATGTACGAGTAATTATCTGCAAAGAGGTGTAAAAAGAAGAAAATGGAAATCGCGGTCAGTATATTTCCTGTTTGATGCTCTGACTGCATCAGATAAAGGAAAGTCGATTGCTTGTAGGAAAAGAAGTATGATAGAACAGCACGCACTGCGCATTCTAGAGTCCATTTGCCCAGCATAGAATTGTACACTAGTCTTTGCTATCGCGCCCTATGGACATCAACCGAACCCTAGTGCCTGTCAATATCATATAGTCGTACGTACCTTCAAGAGCTGGAACTGGAATGACGCGCATGGTGGAATGAGCTGTGGTGGAAAACTGATGCAAAGACAAGTTTGAGGATGGAGTGATTCGGTGCGCAGATCTGGAAGAGGTGACGAGTGAGTTGCCTAATGATAAGGAGGGTTTTGTTTTTCGAGTAAAGGTCGAGAAGGCGGACAAGGTCGAGCTGGATAAACTGGAGGTGTGAAGTGTTCGTCTGGCCGTGAGGATGCGGTAGGCAGCAGAGGTATTGGAGGAAGAAAAGGCAGTGCGTAACGAAGACATAGGAAGCAGCGGGGTGGTGCCGAATGGGAGATGTCGTCTTTATCTGGAAAAAGGTGTTCCGGAGAACGTTCCAAAAACGAACGTTCAAATGGAACGTCTTATTTTCTACGCCCTTTTTAAACGACGCCACTAACTGCCTGCATTTTCCCGCGCCTTTTCTGGCCCTCCTTCAAGAGTACAGAGCAAGAGAGTCTATGATTGGACATGGATATAGACATAGAGCGATGATTCTTCAATAAAGGTGCTGGTTCTATCTATTCGACCAATGTCGTTGATACGATATCTCGGTTCTCATCCAGATCCAGCCTCAAATGTCGTCCTGTCGAGCGAGTCCCAGAAGAAGTCTCGTTCTCCTTGAATAAGCTCTCCTGCAGAAGTCGCTCCAAATATACCTCATACGCGGGCATAAACCTTGACACAAACTCCTTCACTTGCTCCTCCGTCATCCCTGCTCCCTTCTTCACCCATAGATCCCTCTCCTGTTCCGCTCGCCACTTGAACACCGTCGCAAGATTTGGCGCCGACAGATGCACAAACACGTCCAGATAACTATACCATTCCTGTTCATAGGCCTCCAAGAACTGGTCCACCACTTTTAATGACGAGAACGGATGCTCCGCAAGATAGTACGGCGGGAATGTCGAGCGCTGCTGATAGATTGACAGGAGATGACTCTGATCACGAATCGACTTAAATCCGAGTGACCAACCTTCAAACAGGATCACGTCAAAGGGTGCCTCGGCCTGTGGCCATTGATCCTTGGGAGCTTGATCTCCCCGTCCAGAATGAAGTGACTTATCATAGGTTGGGATAGGGACACGAATCGGTGCAGGCTGTTGTATGGGTTCCTCAGCGGACTGGCTAGAACGGATGGGCGCCAATTGATTCGCCTCACACAGCGCGCGGAATGTGTCTGCGCCCAATTGGACATCATGTGTTCCTGGTAGGCCCCGAAACTCGATCAGCTTATTATCAGGATACCGTTGGCTGAGTGCCTGTTGGTCTTTGAATGGGAGGTAAAGATCGTCTGTGGAAAAGGCAAAAACACGTAGGTTGTGCGGCGCTCCTGATAGCGCTGCGACTAGCTTGTTCGTCAGAGTCGTTTTGCCTGCAAGTGTGTTGATAGACGCGACACTTCTTCATTAGCAAAAAGGGCAATTGCTTTTGAGGACACAACCTTTGTCTGCCTTTGGCATATTACCCACCTATGCCCTGTGGTCCCGACAGACCAACGAATAGCGGCTTTGTGGCGGTGCAGTTGACTCCTGGAGGAAATCGCCTTGGGGTCGAGATATTCCGCAGGATATGCTGTACTATGGTCTGTGTCTTGTCTAGTCGCACGCTCATGGTCGATGGGTCATGGAGAGCGTTCGAAAGCGGCAAGTGGAGGAGCAGAAGGTCATTCCTCTTTGGTCCCCTCGACTGGACCAGCGTGGCTTTTGGTTGGGGCGGGGGCAGCAAATGAAAATTGGGTTTTGTTGGACATACATGAGCGCGCGCGTGGCAACGATCACCTTCTTCTCCCCTTCCATTCGACTCATCACCTCGCGCAGCTCCTCCCTCACTCCCGACAGATAAGCAGACAGACATCGCCACACCGCCTCAGCAACATGGATCTCCCTGTCGTCAGATACAGCAAGTCAGAATACATCGAAACGGTACAGCGACACCTACAACTCGATGCATTGTTTTGAGGCATCTCAGGAACTAAAACCCATGGAGCAACGTTTAAGAACCGACACCTCTTCTTACCCATTTCACCCACTATCTTCACTAGGACACGGGCAACAAAGTCTCGAGGAAGTCCGTTATTTGCGGCAGTCAGAACATTATCCTCGGTGGTAAGGTGAGGACATGAACCCTCCTTGGCATGGTCATCATCACCAATTGGAGCGCGGGTTCACAAGGCACACTCAGCCGCACGTGCTATTTGCCCAATGGTCAGTGGTATGACCCAGAGTTATAACATATCCTTCTGACCATCGGAATTTCATCATAGACGATATTACAGACCGGCAGCGTGATTCGAGGCGATCTACGAAGGACGGGACCTGGTCAAGCGGTGGTCGTCTCGGTCGGTCGCTACTGCTTTCTGTCACAAGGCTGCATTATCCGTCCACCTTGCAAGACCTATAAAGGGTAACGAAACGACAGGGGCAATGCATGGCGACTGAAGCGATAGGCTCGCTTCTTTGTCGCATTTTACTAATAGGCCTTTGTTGATGTGGGAACAATAGGGCGTTTAGCTACTATCCTATGAAAATCGGCGACCATGTCAGCATTGGCGAGGGATCGATTGTTCAGGCGGCCTCTATTGGATCGTTTGTCCACATCGGAAAGAACTGTGTTATTGTAAGTGTGAATCCAGCGATTAATATTCCTCATCTCCCTCGCTGTCTCTCCTGTCCTTGCTTTGGACATGTCTGTTGCTCAGCAAGATAGCTCGTCACTCAACCCACGTCTGCCTAAATGCACATTTCACAGGGAAAGTTTGCGATCATCAAGGAATGCAGCAGGATTGAGGATAACACTGTCATCCCAGCAAACGCAGTCGTACCATCATTTGCGATCTACAGCGGGTCTCCTGGAAGGCTGGTCGATGAGCTGCCAGAGAGTTTTCAGGAGATCTTTGAAGCACGGACAAAAGATCGATATGCAAAGTTCATCCCCAGCACGGATTGATCTCAAGAGCACGGGACGCTGCGCGAGACTGGTGTGCAAAGCAAACGTCAGGACACGGCTTTGTACTGTGCTCTCCATAAGATCGACATTCTTAGGACCATTCAAAAGATACCAAATACGCGCGCGCACATCTACTCAAGCATGTGAACTTTCACACACGCGCATCAAATAAACAACGGACCATGAAACTGACTGCAAAAAATGACACGGGATATATGGCGATAAGAAATACTTTATATCTCATCCATGCATATGTGTCCTGGTCAAGGTAGGAATCTAGGCAAGAGAGAGAAAAGAAAGAGAAAGCACCTCCTCATCATCATCGGCTTTGTTTGTACAATTGTTCCTCAATTCCTATATTTTTGTCCGTGGAGGTGTATTTGAATATCGACCTTGCATGGGCCAATCCGATTCGACCAAAGCGATTGTCATGAGTGTTGTTCTTGGTACGCGTGAAGACGCATACATAGTTTGTACGACATCAGAGGCGCGTTATTCCTTTTGCAATGCACGGTGTCTGTTACTGTAGCCCCCAGGATCCAAAGAGACTACCTGCACAACATGCAGCCGGATTGTCGAGGGATTGTCCCTTTCGGTTACCGCCACTCTCCTCGAGCACCCCTTCTCCCCAGTACCTGTTTGCGTGCTCGCGATGAGGTATACAGATCCATTCCGGTAGTCGTTGTGGAGAGTGAGGGCAAGAACCAATCGCAATGAGACAAATGAACATCTTCCCTCTCGTTTTGTATCTCGTTTTGTCCTGGCACTTCTTTTTCTCACTTACTTTCGCCCTCGCCTATCCTCCCCCCCCTTTTTTGAAAACTTGTTCTGGTACACTCGCATCCATTTCATTCTATCAACACATTTGGCCAACTCACCATTGTAGATATGCGCATCTTCACTCTCTCTTCCTCCCTCCCTCTCTGTTCATATACCACCACGACAACCAGAACAAGTTCGCAACACTGCTATCCTCTATAAACTCTTTCAATAAGGCACGCCTTAGAAAATGAAGTGCAGCCACAGAAACATCCCAATCACGCTCTTCTCCACGGTCCTCCTCCTCCTCATCGCCGTCTTCTCCCTCACAGCAGGCAAGCAATTAACACCCTTTGGTTCTCCGCTTCATTGAATCGAACAGGGACCATGAGATCATGGTGTCCTTTTTCTGTCTTTCATTTAAAACATCTTCCTTTCTGAATGTACATCTCTCTTTCTCTCCCCCAATAGATGCCACACCTTACACAGCCAGGACGCTCCGCGCAAGTCGTCCTCCTTCACCACAACCAGCCTGTCAGTCTGCTTGTAATGCCGATTACTACAAATGCATCAACACTCCCACCAACTGCTCCGTTGAGCGCGACGGCTGTATGAGGGGATGTTCCTAGAGATGGAATGGTTCCGGAAATGATCAGCTTAGTCGCTTGAGGATAATCCGAATCGTGCTGTGTTTCTGTCCAAACTGAGTAAAGCATAATAATAATAATATAATAGTAATAAAACAGCCTGCATGGAAAAATACAATAATAACAATGATAATAAGGGTCAGTAAAAAACTGAACCACACAGAACAGGACTTCTTTAGTTACTGATCGACTGAATACGAAAAAGTTGGGCGTGTTTGGAACGGGGGGTTTTTTTTCTTGTTCTTTATTCTTACGGAGATGGGCTGGTCGCTTTAAACATCTTTTATTTTTTTTGGTCCTGCAATGGCAGCAACAACAACAACAACAACAACAACAAGGGGACCAAAAACCGCTGCTTTATTGTCTGTATTGTCTTTCATGCATTACCTAACAGTTGGGCCCTCAACTTGATGATATTGGCTCGCTGGTCCTCGGGCAAGGATGCAATGTCCGCGGGCGTTAATGCCATCACTTGGGCCAGCAGCTGCTGTTGTTGCTCTAATTTTCACAACGAGAAAATCAAAGAAAGGAGAACATGAAAGAGTAATAGTCAGTAAGTCGGTTCAGTCTTTTGTGCCAGGAAAACACATATGGGTAGGTGGGTTTGAAGCCGCATGCTTACCAAGCGATGGCTGTGGGATAACAGGCGGTTGCTGTTGTTGTTGCTGTTGCTGTTGCTGTTGCTGTTGTTGCTGCTGTTGTTGTTGCTGTTGCTGCTGTGGTGGAACTCCTGCAAATGTTGGTGGTGGGAAGGGCATTTGTGGAGGTGCCATATGCGTCGGTAACGCTGGCGGCGGCGGCAGCATATGAGGCGGTATAGCCGGGTTCGGTACATTTGATCCTGGCGTTACCTTCGGGAACATCCTCTACAGTGCATGACATAAGACGAGCATACGACATTTGTTTTTGTTTTCTGGTTGAGCACAAGTAGCGCATAAATGGTAGATCAATTCATGCCTACCGCATAAACGATACTCGACTTTCACAGAACTCACCTGCAACACGATCGGGTCCACTAGGTTCATCATGATCAACGACTGGAAAAGCGCATAAGAGAGCTGTGGGTTCGCGTTCAACAGAGCCGCGGCCCTCTCGGGTTCATTCACCGCCAGGATTTTGATCGAAGAAATAATATCATAAATGTTCTGTGGTGTCATCGTCGCTAACACTGCTGAGATAGCGTCCGCAGAACTGATTCCTCCGGGTGAAGGTCCTGTTGGCGCAGAAGGAAGTCCGAGCAGAGCGCCAGGTCCAAGGAGTAGTCCCTGTTGTACATGGGGAGGGATCATCGGCGCCGCGGACGTGGCCGCTGCTGGATTGTTGGCCAAACGTGGATCAACCCGTCCTGACAGCGGATTTTGCAAGAACGGCATCTGTTGTTGTTGCTGTTGCTGTTGCTGTTGCTGTTGCTGTTGCTGTTGCTGTTGCTGTTGCTGTTGCTGCGGCTGTTGCTGAAGCGGGAGTGGCAATGGTGGGGGTGCATGTGGTTGCGGGGGCCTCTGACCAGCGTTCGTCATGAAAGATCCTTCCTCAAGATCGCGTCCATCCATCCGTGCGGGATCCGTGTCCGCAAAGTCGACTTTCAGAGATCTGTTTGCGATCTCCCTCCCATTGAGGTTCCTGACGGCTGAGGCTGCTGTCCGCTCGTCCTGGTATTCGCAAAAGCCGTATCCTCTGGGCTTACCGGTCTCTCTTTCAAATACCAGTCTAGTGGAGAGAGAGTGTACGCTGGTGAGAAACTGCTCTGCCAAATGAAACCTATTGAAGTCCATTGAAGCCAACTAGGACCAATTGAAGATCAGAGAGACATACCTGAACGATACCACAGGTCCAACTTCGCTAAAGATATCAATCAATTGCTCCTCGGTCTGCTCGTAAGGAATATTGCCCACTATGGTTTCATGGCGGAGGCGAATGAACAAATCGATTGTCAGCATCGTCCCTGTCCTTGTTGATTCACAGGGCCGATCAGGAAGCAAGAGGCCTTACCAAAAACGACTTTCGAGCCGCTCATGATAACTATTGTCCAAGCGACGTCAGGCGCGTAGTAGGGTACATATGAAGGGGTAAGTAGAGAAAGGGCTGCCCAGTTAAAAGACGAGCTGCCGTCCATGGGGCCAATGTGGCCCCAAATGGACATTATGAGATTGGTTAAGGGCTGGGCGGAGGCTGTTTGAGGGGGGAGGTGACAAAATTGTTCTTGGGTGTTCTCCTCTTTTTCATCTCATCATCCACATCAACACCAACTCCTCCTTCTTCTCTGTCCACTCACCCATCCTAGTCTTCACTCCCTCACTCTCTCTCTTTCTCTCTCTCCTAATCCAGTTTTTCGGGGTTATCTATACACTACGCGCCGCATGTCCGATATTCAAAATTTGCAAGCCTACGGTAGGTGTTACTGCGGCCGCTTGCGAATGGAAAACAGGAACTTGGGTCTTTTGGCCTTGATGATCAACAACAGCAGCAACTAAACTGCCTTTACTCATCTGCTTCTTTCTCCTTGAATCTGAATGACTTTAGATCCTTTTGCCGATCTTGGTGATTCTGGCGACACTGCCGAACAAAAGGACTATATCCGTACGTTACTCCATCTGTCCCAATTCAGCCCCTGTTCTTTTTTTTCTTTTTCTTTTTATCGGCCATTCACTGCCGACTCCTTTCTCGGATTGTCCGATGCATGGATCTCGACAGAAAAAGTGATGATAACCTCAATTGAACCGTAGCAGGATCTTGGTAGACCGTTTTGGTCTACTACCTGTTCTGTCGGTAGTATACCTGTATACACCATTGTCATAGTTACACTGATCCTTTTTTTTTTTTTTTGTCCCTCTATCCGTCGTTCTTTCATCTCACCGCGTCTTTCTTGGTCTTTGGGGAATAAGAGAATGAGAACGCTGAAATTGATGATTAATCGGATCTCTTCTATTTCTTTACCTGGAATAGATATTCGTATCCAGCAGCGCAACGGACGCAAGACCCTGACGACGATCCAAGGATTGCCCAAGACGTTTGATCAGAAGCGCATGCTCAAGATCTTCAAGAAGGACTTTGCTTGTAACGGAACCCTCGTGGAGGATGAAGAGTTGGGATCCGTCATTCAGCTTCAAGGCGATCAGCGTACCAAGGTCCATACTCTTTTGACGACTGAGGGCGGCATCGACAGGAGACAGATCAAGATCCACGGTTTCTAAAAAAAGAAACCCCCCAAGAAAAAAAGGGCACCTCATTGGATGTTGTTATGTTGCTTTGTCTCGACAACCTTTTGTTTCTTTCATTATTCTTTACTTTGACGGCAACGATTCTGTAAATTAGTTTTCTGCCTTTGACCTGTGTCTCCCATTTTGTCGTAGTTTGCAATGTCAACCATAGCCATGCAAAGCGTTTGTGCATTAAATCAACTACGATTGTCAACTGCAAAAAAAAAAAAAAAAAAGAGAGAGAGAGAGAGAGATGCCCTTATTCAAATGTTGCCTCTATTCCCCATGACGAACGGGCCATTTTTTTGGCTTTTCTATGATTGGTCCCTGCGCTCCCCAGGTACTGCGCCAATGACCCTTGCTCCGTCTGCGCTTAGTGTCATTATTATTATTGCGGCTGTTGCTGCGGGCACATCAGCTTCCGGAAGCTATCCTTGGCTCCTGATGAGACGGAGGGACAGCCCAAGTCATGCTGTGGTGGACGTTATAGTCTTGATATCTCATCTAGCTACATTCTTGGCACTTGATGGACCGACCCTCAACGTTTCCCAAGGTTACTGCACTGGTAGCATGTTATAGAGATCATCCGCTCATCGGCACGGATCATGGGTATATTATGAGACCACCACTTAAAAGGAATCGTCAGGATAAATAAAATGTAGATAAGCCCTTGTTGAATGGTTTCCAGGCTCGTGTAGAGAGAGCTAGATATGTTACTTTCTAGCTCCCACATTCTGCTTCCCCCTGCATCCTTATCTTTCAAACACAGCGTCTTGCGGACCTCCACTCACTCTCTTCTCCATCGTAGACACCGTCCACCGGTATTGTACTAATATCGCCAATATATAAACGGTACATCGATCTGCCTTGCATTATGGTGTTCGCGGCGTCGGAGGTTTTGGCAATACACAGTGTTTTTGGGGACCAAGAATTTGATGAGATGCATTATTTCCATACCACTACCCATCCCTGCCTACGCGTAATGCTCGACATACAGCCCTGCCGCATATGGTGCCTTCGATATTAGAAAGTTGTGGTACTTTGCCTGACGCATCACTACAGTGCTTCACTGCGGCTCTGTTGAGAAAAATAATGAACCGAATGGCTCAGCAGGCTGGAAGAGCGGCCCCTCTTGCTCTCATAAAGAGTGAAGCAACAGCAAGACACATACGCGGGATCAACAGGCCAGCACGTTGTCTAGGCTATGGACGTTAAGTGAAGGATTCTTTTGCAATCTGGGGGACAGGCACTGAGTATTGTGGGTTCATCCATGGATGATGCCAGAGGCAACGCCGTGGCAAGAGCTGAATGCGACATCAATTTATTTTTTGGAAATACACTTGAACGATTCATTCTACCTTGCATAGTTGCATAGGCGATGCGACCGGAACCTGGCATAAGATACACTGTTGGGTTTTGCCTACACATCAAGCTGAGACTTGAAAAGTATGACGAAACAATGGGATTGTGCTGTCTGACGTTTCTACGTGTATCTAGACCTCATTGCCTTTGATGGTCTTCAAGTCTATTTTGCTTATTTATTTTTTCTTACAAAGCACGACGGTAACCACTCGAAAACGTTGATTGTTGGCACCAATGTGCATTTATCGCACGCGCATATTAGATGGTTCTTCAAACTTCAACGGAGGAACAGATAAAAATGTTTTATTTAATGAACCAATGGCACCATGGCACAGCTCTAGCCGAAAAGAAAAGAAGAAAAAGCATCGCACAGCCGTGTGGCACTGTTGCTTCGCATGCTTAGTGCGATACCCAAGACTCGTCCGAATCGTGCGATCCAATGCTGCCAATTTCGGCCTCGGTCCAGTCTAGGTCCTCTTCCTCGTCCTCGTCCTCACGGCCCACAGTGATGGATCGATCCTCCGCGTCCGCAAAGGCGTCCACGCCGTCGTCCTCCCCAGCAACAGACGATCGAGTAGACAACGACGATGTATTCTCGAGGAGAGCAGAAGGGTCCTCGAACGGGTTCACATTCTCCTGATAGTTGCTGCTCAAGTTGTGACGCAAGATAGCATGGGCGGTTCGTGAGCTGACCTCCTCTGTCGTTGGTGTGCTGTGGTTGTTCGTTGTCTGGATATCGCGCTGTTGAATGCCATCATCGTCACGGTCAGGGATCAAGGGCTCGCTGCTGGCAAAGGGATTCTGATAAATCTCGGACAACTGAGGCATCTGCAATTGCTGCTGCTGCTGTCGAATCTGGGCCAATTCCTGCTCGCGTCTGGCATTGCGCTCCTTGGACTCACGCAGCTCCCGTTCAAGGCGTTCTTCCTGCTCAAGCATGGATCGCTGCAAGGCCTCCTCACGTTCTCGCATGGACCGCCCCATTTCTGCAACACGAGCCTCGTCAGCAGCAATGGTGCGCTGGGTCTCGTTCAGTCTGCGTAGTCGTTCCGTCAGGGCATCGTGCTAAGTTCATAGAGCAAGACAGCAAAATTAGTTATATTCTTAGGAGGCTTTTTTTCTTTGGTCGTCGTACAAAAGTAGACCTGGCTCTTGGGTGTATCACATAATCGCCAAATTAGTCGTAGACTTAGGCGCTCCCGCACAAAAGAAAAAGAGCCAAAGGCCAAGCCCAATCCAAGGCTAGAGAACGTGACCCTATGAATAACACCGCATGTGGAAGCTCGGCATTGCGCCGTAGTGGTGCACCGCAACATGGTTCAGTAGCGATAAAACAGGTGTTCTGCTCCCTCTCCTTATTGTGCTACACTCCTGCAGTGCGCATTATGCATGAGCAGCAAGTGAGCGTTGCATGACGAATGGCAAAAGGAGAATGGGAATGTCAAAAAAAAAGAAGCATCGCACCAGCCAAGACCAAGAAGAAAGGGCGAACTGCAAACACAAAGGAAGAAAAAACCCTCCCACTCCCTGCATATCCGTATACTACGATTACGCCCACACTCGCCAGCCCCCCCCCCCCCCCCCCCCCTCCCCCCCCCCAACCTCACCCCTCTCGCTCCTCTCCCGCTCCTATTCCCGCTCCCCAAATACACAAAACTCATGACCAGCGAAAGAAAGAAGAAACTTACTTCAGAGTCCTTTTCATTATCATTTTCGTCGTCCTCGCTCAGTCGCCGGGATCGACGGTGTCGCAATTCATAGTCCGCCATGTACATGGAAGAGGACTGGCCATGTCCGTGCTCAAAGTCATAGTCGTCCTGTGCGAACCCATGCTCCCGATGTTGTTGTCGTTCTCCATGGTCTCGTGTTTGCTCGTATCCGTATGGGACGCCACTGGGCTTCTCAAAGGACTCTAGGAAGTCATGGATCTCCTCCTTGATAATCGTATAGATCACCACTCCAGTGACCACCACGCCAAAGACGCTGGCAACGATGATTCCGGGGTGCACCATCGTCTTGAATAGAGTAGAGTAGAGTAGAGTAGGGTAGAGTAGGGTAGAGTAGAGGTGGGTCTGTGGAGTAATAAAAAGGGGATATCGTACGCAAGCTAGTGGTTGTTCGATGCAGTGAATGATTTGAGGATGACCCTCCTTCAGGCTGCTGGATAAAAAAAAAAAAAAAAAAAAGGGTGTAGGGGGCAAAGGAAAGAAAAGTGAGATGCAGAGAAAGAAAAAAAATGAACACTCGACTTCTTGGCAAATCAGTGGCTGATTGCCTTTCCAGGCGACTCCCAGAAAGGGAACAAGTGCAAAGAGAGAAATAGGAAACAAGAACTCGGGCGCCCTCTATCTGATGTCTGCTAAGTGTTGAACTTGTGGGTGGCAAAAGGATGATGGTCTTCGTTTGAGAGAAGCGGGTTATTCCTATCTGGATATATTTTGCCATGTATAGGTGGCTGCTTATTGGACAAGCTGATGCGCTATACAAGATCTATGAAGGAGGAAGTGCCACTCAGCAATGTACGAACAGGGAGCGGTAGAGGTAAAGAGAAGGCTGAAATGGAGAGGGGCGAGGCAAGAACGACGACCATTATACAAATATCTCGAAAGGGTGACTAGAGTGAGATGGGGATACCTTAAAGCGAACTTGCGAGATAGCAAGAAGCAATCTCTAGTCAATGTTTCACTGAGAGATACCCTGTATCCCTGTATTCCGGCTGAGATGTATGGTCGCATCATATCGATGCCATTGACCAGATATATGCAGCGATGAGGAAGAAACTAATATATGTAGGCTGTGTATATGCAGCGATGTAGGGCTGGTTAGTCATGAAAGCAGGAGTGGCGCAGCAGTTGGCATCCGCACTCATTGCTTCTTCGTCGGTGTGGGGAAGCGGGAGGATAGGACGTCTGTGGCTGACAGGGAAGGGGGAGACGCACGGATGATCAATGCGCTGTGGAGAACGGGGGAAGGGGACGACTTCTCCTGCGGACGATTTGCTCGTGTGCACAGAGCACAGCGGAGAGATGATCGGGGAGGGGCCTTTTGTGTCACCATGTCCATGTGGCCCAACCGCCTGTATTGGCTCAAACGACAGTGTTCAATCGTTATCAAACTGCCTTGCCAGTAGGTTTTTCTGATGGCTCCGATCAAGATCTGCCTCATGGGTGGAGGGATGCCACGGCCCTACTGGATGTAGAGACCAAAAGGAGAGGCGTGGGACTCTAAGAAAGTGCCGTAATGGGGAGGAGTGCCAAAAAAGCACGCCATTTCCAAGGTTGTATTATAAATCGTATTCTCGAGCTGGGTTTGTATCGAGCACGCAATCGGCCGGCTAAGGAATGGAGAGTGCACATGGGTTCAGCACATCAATGGACGTTCTTAAAAGACGACTGAATCAAGAAACAAGTAATGTTTCCGAAAATCTGATAGGACGAAAATACATACTTACACCTCCGCCGAGTCAAACCCGAATTGCCCAATCGCCTGTAACACCCATTTTTTTTCCTCCTCAAGGTTATGAAAAGTAGGCATCAAATGCCGGATGGCATCAGAACTGTAGCGTATCTGAGAATGAAGGGAGATTAGCTCCAAGAAGCATTTGTCAGTCTACGGCAGCTCCATCTTATAAAAGGAACCCAGAACGCCCTTCCTGAACAGCGTCTCCACTCATTCGTTTCCATTGTCGTTTCTTGCTGGGCATATATATTCTCCTCCTCCTCCTCACCCTCCTTTGCCCCGGGCGCGTCCTCACTCCGCATCTACCCACGTTTATCCCTCCTAGCTGTTTATAGCATCTGTACACCCTTGCGTCTACGCATATACCCAACGCTCTTAAAATGGCCGATGTAGTGCAGCAAAAGGAGGGTCGAGCGGATCTTGTGGATCTCGCTGATGCCCTTTCTCTCAAAGAGAAGGCACCCTCAGTCGACAGCCTGGACGACAACATCGAAGACTCTGTAAGTGATAAATACGACTTTTCTTTAATCCACCTCGTATTAATAATGTCCGAATGCAGGCGTAGAAGTACCGTAATTGACATCGTTCGTATATCTTCGCTTAAATAGCCCATCCCAGAGGTCAGAGCATCGGTGCCACCTACCGACGACCCCACTCTCCCCACCCGCACTTTCCGCTCATGGTCCCTTGGTATCTTCTTCACCGTCGTCCTTGCCTTTGTGAACCAGTTCTTCTGGTTCCGCGATAACCCATTGACCATTCGCGTCATGGTCGCGCAGCTGCTCGCCTATCCTCTGGGCAAACTCATGGCTCGTGTCCTTCCCACTCGCACCTTCCCCTTCTTTGGCCACAAGTTCAGTCTTAACCCCGGCCCCTTCAACATCAAGGAACACGTTCTCATCACTATCATGGCCAACACCGGCGCAACGACCTTTGCCGCCATCGATATCATTGTTATCCAACGGCTCTATTACAACGACAGCTGGGGGTTCGGTGGTGGTCTTCTCTTGGTCATCTCGACCCAATTTATCGGGTATGGCTTCGCTGGTGCTCTTCGTCGCTTCCTGGTTCGCCCTGCTTCCATGGTCTGGCCTGTCAATTTGGTCAACGCGACTCTGTTCCACACTCTCCACCGGCGCAACGCCGCTAACGGTGCTCTCCAGGCCCATGGCGATGAGGTTACCTCGTGGAAGATCTCTCGCAACATGTTCTTCTTTGTTGTAGCAGCCATCTCCTTCGTCTATTATTGGCTCCCCGGCTACATCTTCCCTCTGTTGACGTCGATCAGCTGGCTGTGCTGGATCAATCGCGATTCACTCCTCCTGAACCAGCTCGGATCTGGACTGAAGGGTATCGGCTATCTCTCTTTCACCCTTGACTGGTCCTCCATGTCCGCTTGGTTGCCCTCGCCTCTTGCCATTCCCTGGTGGGCCCAGGCTAACATGTTGGCTGGCTTTGTCGTCTTTGTCTGGATCGTAATCCCTATCATGTATTACACCAACCGATACGACGGCAAGTTGTTCCCCATCTACAACACCAAGACATACGACAATGTTGGTCAGCCCTACGACCTCCAGCGCGTCCTTGTCAACAACTCCCTGGACGAGGAAAAGTATAACAACTATTCTCCCGTCCGCATCACTGCCTTCTTCGCCACCATGTATGGTCAGGGTCTTTGCGCCTTGGGTGCTATTGTCTCGCATGCCATCCTTTACCACGGAAAGGAAATTTGGAGCCGAGTCCGCAGCGCCAAGCAGAAAGATGAAGATATTCACGCTCGTCTGATGGATAACTACCCCGAGTGCCCTGACTGGTGGTACGCTGCCACGTTCGTCGTTGCCTGCGCCCTGTCCATCCTGACCGTTGAGCTATACCCCTCGAGCGATATGACCTGGTGGCACGTCATTGTCGCCATGTGCCTTGCTGCCATCTGGACCTTGCCCATTGGTATCTTGACCGCTATCACCTCTCAGGCTCCCTCGATCTCGATGATTTCCGAGTGGGTCTTTGGTGTGATCTCGCCCGGAAAGCCCATTGGAAACATGATTTTCAAGACCTACGGATTCATCACGGTTCAGCAGGCGATCTTGTTCACCCAGGATCTCAAGCTTGGACATTACATGAAGGTTCCTCCAAGAGACATGTTTATTTTCCAGATGGTTGGCACTTTGGCGGCAGCTCTTGTCTCCATGGGAACCACCACCTACCTGATGAACAACATCGAGGGCATCTGTACAGAGGCGGCACAGCATTTCTCATGCCCATCGGCAACGTTGTTCGGTGCGAGCTCTATTGTCTGGGGTGTCGTCGGTCCCCTCAAGTTCCTGTCGCCCTCGTCAATGTACTACCCTATCGTCTGGTTCTTCTTTATCGGCTTTATGATCCCCGTCCCATTCTGGTTGCTCGCGCGCAAGTACCCCAACTCTTGGGTTAAGGACGTCAACATGGCTGCGTTCATGCTTGGCGGTGGACCCTACCCACCTGCCGGTACCTCGATCATGCCTACCTGGGCATTGATTGGTTTCATCTCCAATTTCTGGATCAAGCGTAGACATTTCGGATGGTGGTCCAAGTACAACTATGTGATGTCGGCAGCCTTGGATGCCGGCGTTGCTGTCTCGGCTCTGGTGATCTTCTTCGCGTTGCAGAACAACAACATCAAGATGCCCGAGTGGTGGGGCAACAACCCTAGTTCGATTGACCAGTGCCCAAGAGTGTCCCAGAACTGGGCTGGCCATGACACCTATGCTGAGAGTGCTACCTCTCTGTAATACTCAAGAAAGCATAATGCCTTGGGTCCATCCCTTTCGGTGGTCCTATACCACTAATTTGTATCATACCCTCATAGCCACTTTACATAGCATACATTGTTGTAATTATAATCATTTTTTATCAAAAATTCCGACATGCCTGGCGCATTCTTATGTCCTCCACACATGGATACGCATACACATGCGTATAGTTCGCAAGCGTACTTGTTGAACGTCGATATGAACAGTTGTGAACGCTTTGAAGCCACTCCTTCTTTTCCTTATCCATCCCCCGGAGATTCATGGTTGTGTGGGAACAGGCCAAGCAGGGTAAACCTTGAACCATTTAAAACCGAGTTGTGTAACAAAACAAGGCGGGCAATGATGAGATCGCACCTGGGGAAGGCGCTTTTTTTTTTTTCTCGAACCACACGAGCGCCTTTGTATAAATGTGGAGGTACTGCGGCGTTAGGCAGGCAGCATTTTTCAAGGTCCTATTAAGAAAAGACTCCTGAAGAGTCATCGTGAGCAATCGCTAGGCAACGTGCGACAGAGTGTATGCTCAGGCTGCAAGGGGTGCGAAGAGAGCTAGAGCAAGGGGTTTAGAGTGGATCTAATGGAGCACTGGGAAGCCATGAAACATTACGACTCTTCGATAAAGCGCTTCTACGAGATACACAGTTGGTTCGAAAGAATATATTGTGGGCGAAATGACTGTGCGTCATACTTTGTCTATCTTTTGGGAGGTACCGAGGGTATGTACGTTCGCCACATGGATGTGTAGAATGCTCACTGGTGAGCTGGGCGTAGTTACCCTGGTAAGATTCGGTTTTATTCTCCTCCAAGTGCAGTCTCACATCATGCGCTCTTCTACAGACCGAAGCCCCCGCTGCAGATGGAAGGAGGGAAGATTAAAAGGCGCCCGTTCTTCTTCGTTTTTTTGTTTTTTTATTATGTTCCTGACCATTCATGCGATGGTTCGCGATTTGGCGTGGACAGCCTAAAGATGACAAGGGCGTGTGTGTTTCCCTTATTTGGACCCGAACCAGGGTGCATATTTTCTTCCGCTTCGATGGTTTAGCTTTGTGCAGAGCTGAGCTTGAGTTGATTAAACAAAGTTATCCTCGGGGAAGTTGAACCTTATCCTCAAGAGAAATATAAGAAAAGTGGGTCCTCCAACCAAGGTGCCCGCCTCTTTCCCTTATCCCCGGCCTTTTTCTTTGCGGATTACCCCTCTCTTCACTCTTCACTCTTCATTCTCCACTCTCCACTCTCCATATTTCCTTCACTCAATTGCCCATCCACCCTCAATTAGCCCGCATTCAATAATTTGATCCGCAAACCCCGTTCACACATCCTTTCCACATATCCTCAACACAGCATGCCCATGAAGGACGGTAGTATCCTTTCACGGACATCCAGCTCCACAACCACTCGTCTAGAGACAGATATTGCTCCCTCGCACGACCACCCTAAAGATAAAATCCAGCCCACATCTACCACCATCCTATCAGATAAGAAGACAGGTGTCGAGTATGAGGCCGGGAAGGGCAACACCGACTCAAGGAGTATAATCGACATCGAGAGCGGTGTTCCAGTCAACGAAGAGAAGACAGAGGAGCAGATCCTCGCACAGGAGGTGCAGACCCTACCCATGAAGCAGCTCCTGCCTGCGTTTTTGGGGTAAACAACAGACTTCTCGTTCTGCAGCCAAACTCGCTGATCTAGATCTCACTCATCTAACTCTTCGCAATATCTTTTCGCTCATAACAAAACAGTGTCGCATTAACCATGTTCATGGCTGCATTGGACAACAGTATCGTATCGACAGCTCTGCCCAAGATCGGAACCGAGTTTGCGGCGTCCAATCAAGTAGAGCTTGTCTTTACGTGTTATGTTATCACTGCCAATGCTTTTCAAGGTATGTTCTCTTCTCTTAATTCCTCCTCTTCTTTTTTTTTATTCTTCGCACATCCTGTTGCATTATGTGGTTGGCTTTAAAATTACGCTTCGCTTCCTCCCTCCTCTCCTCATCTGTCTTTTGCCAAAATGACTCGGCATACTCAGATTGCATCAACTGCAAAAAAGATCTTATAATAAAGGGACATTCAACGTGTTTTCTTTTGTGCTGCGATGATGGGGCGTAGCCAATTTTTTCTCCAGAAGCTTTCCTCCTCCCCCAACTATGCTGTTTGTTTTGTCGCACAGACAACTGTGGAGAAGGAAATCGGGGGCAAGTGCTGGGTTCTTCAATCATTCAGCCAGTCACCTGTCGACCATATTCTCACATCACCCTGTTTCATCCCTCTCTTATTTTTTTTTTCTTCTACCCGTCCCCTCTCTCATGTACATGTTCGGTTGATGTTCACAAGGTCTGTGGGGCCGTTGTTCCAACATCTTTGGCCGCAAGCCTACGGTGTTTGTGGTGGTCAGCATCTTTGTCCTCGGCTCTATCCTTTCCGGTGCCAGCAGGTCGATGAACATGTTCCTCGGCTGCCGCGCCCTCGCGGGCATGGGTGCCGGTGGTATCTTCTCACTCTCCAACATCATTATTGCGGATCTGGTCTCGATCCGGGACCGTGGCAAGTTCCAGGGGTTCATCTCGGCCGTGTTTGCTATTTCAGCGTTGGTTGGACCGGTCATGGGAGGGGCGTTCGTGGACAAGGTCAGTTGGCGGTGGTGCTTTTACATCCAGGTAGCCCTGGGTGCGATCACGATCCCGACGATGGCGATTATGTTGAAGCTGCCAAGACCCAAGGGGGATGTGTGGCAGAAATTGGTGGCCATTGACTGGGCAGGGACGTTCTTTATGGCCACGACGACTGTGTTCTTGTTGTTGCCGACAAACCTTGGAGGAAACATGTATCCATGGAAATCGTAAGTTTTTTTTTTTTTTTTTAGTTAGGTCGTAAATGCTATGCGTCCTTGAGTACGAAACATGCAAGGTTGTCAAATAGCGGCGCGATTTACTCTCTGTTTTGCTGCTGCATTGTAGACCATTGATCATCACGTTGTATGTGTTGGCGATTCCTTCCATCGCCGCGTTCCTTTACGTCGAGGCATACTATGCCAAGCATCCCATTGTTCCTTCATATCTTTGGAAGAACAGAAACGTCGTGACCTTGTTCGGCCTCAATGTCTTCATGGGCATGACTTTCTGGACCCTGATCTTCTATCTCCCTATTTATTTCCAGGTATGCAACAAATGAAAAAAGAAAAAAAAAAAACGCGTAGCCCAAGAAGCGTAATTTCGTAGCGCAGAGATCCTAACCTTGCACTCAATCATGTCCAATATTAGATTATCGAACACGAGACAGCAACAGCAGCTGGTTTGACCATGATTCCTCTCGAGGCTGGAATCTTCATTTCATCCAACATCGCCGGCGTGCTCGTCTCAAAGTTTGGCAAGTACCGCCCTTATGTTTTCACCGGCACTGGAATCTCCGTCGTTGGTATCGGTCTTTGTCTTGTCTTGGCCAATACCTCTTCCAAGGCCATTCATGTTGTTGTGTTGCTCGTCTGCGGTCTTGGTATCGGACAACTGTTCCCTTGCCTGATTGTTGCGATCCAGGCCTCGGTCGAGCGTCAGGATTTGGCGACAGTCTCTGCATTGCACAATTTCTTCCGTATGACCGGATCCGGATTCGGAGTCGCCATTAACGGAGCCTTGTTCCAGAACCAACTCAAGAGCTCTTTGGATCGGTCGAACGTACCTGCAGAATACGTCGAAATGGCTGTGTCATCCGCACAGAGGATCGTCAACATCCCAATTGAGTTCCGGGGTGAGGTCGAGGGTATTTATCTGAACAGTATGAAGACCGTCTTCAAGGCCACGATTCCTATGGCGGCGATCATGTTCCTGTTAACGTTCAACTTGAGACATATAAGACTGAACTCCAAGACAGGAGCTGCTCCAAGTCGTGCTTCATCGCCGCCACCAGCAACGACAATAATGGAGGAGGAAAAGATAGCTGTGATGGACGAGAAGGATCTCGAGGGCCAACGCGGTGCGGCGGTCAGCAGCAGCCTGAACGGTGGAAGCAAAGAGGAGTTTGTTGAAGAGAATCAAACTGAATCTAAAAAGAGCGCGCTGCGATGAGATGCGCACGCGCTTGATTGACTAATACGCTTGCACCTCCATTTTCGCATTTCTATTGTAGTTGTAGTTTTTCTCTCTAATAAACTCGAGTAATTCTTAGTAGAAAGCCTCGTGTTTACGTGATCTAACCTTGCTGGAAAGGGGGGAGGGAAGAACATAATAAGTCATTTTCGTGCGCAACCTGCGCACGACGATCCCTTTCTCACCCTCTCTCTTATTCTAATCGAGTGGGACATGCTCTTGGTCGGTGGAATGGGCCGATGGAACACTTTACTATGCTACAGCCCACGTAGATGCATGACCATGCGGGCAAAAAGATGTATGAATGCATCGAATGGGCACAGATCGCATGTGGCGTTGGGAATGTCACTTTGCTCTGTGTTCTTGACAGATAGGCCGCAGGACAGCGATTGTGCATTGTGCATTAGATTGCAATTTTAATCTGAAAGGTGATTGGCGTGCCTGAGGAAGTGCGGTTTCATCGCACACACGTGACATGAAATTGTTGTTTGAGATGGCCGTCTTTGGTGCGGTTGACTCTGCTGGACTCTGGAAAGAGGTCCCAACAGCGGACTCGCCTCCCCCCGGTCCCCTGGCATGGGCCTTCTCCTCGGTCTTGGACGAAACTACTCCAAGGAATGTTTAAATCAGGCTTTCTTTGCTCATCTTCTTCTGACTTTGTGCATTCGCTTGTCCCTCGTTATATCCATCACAAAAAAAATTACCAGGCTAGACTATTACACAAAGATTTGGGCTGCAAAAATAGCCATTTGTCGTCCCGCACCCTGTGCTGTCGCTCCACGCCCTCATCAAACCCCGAAAATACACAACCCAACCCTAGAACCTTGACCCATCTACCCTTCTTTTTCCCTTCTTCTCTCCTCTGTTGACTCTTTCCTCGCCTTTACTCCTCCTGCCATCTCACGAACGCATCTGCCGCAAATCGATTATCTACTCGCATTTATACCTATCAGCTGCAGCGTCTCTATCTACCAGAAAAAAATATGTCGACCGAATCCACACAACCGCGTACAGTCACAGTACCAGTATCACAGGCACCACTCTCGCCCCGATCAACAAGAGCATCCACCGCCGTTCACGATAGCCCCTGGTCATATGGTGCTTATAACCCTGATGATACCAACAGGGCATCAGGAGGCTACAACAACAACCGAGCCCCGCCGGACGATCACCGATTTCCAGCCCAGCAAGAGCCTCAAGATCCCTTACGCCATTCCATGGCGCAACAGCAACAACAGTCAGCGTCTCCATCTTACAGGCACGACGATCCCAGGACGGGCGGCTACCAACCCACTTCGCCCATGCAAGCCCCCACATCACCTTCATTGGACTACTCCCAGGCGCCCATGTCTCCTCTTCCGCCATACATCGCACGACCACCCCCCGCAATGGCACCGCCTCAGTATTACCAAGAGATTCACCAGGAGACTCAGGCGCCCGATCAGATGGGACCCATGGGCACGGACGACCGGATAGGACACGGATATGCAGCTGGAGATGCGTCGGTCTGGGGCCCTGGAGGGACTGGTCGGTCGAGTCGTCAGGACGAAGAGATGTTGTATCGATCTGCAGGGCAGTTCAATCCTAATAAGAGGTCAGGTTATGGTGAAGAGGACCCAAAGCAGGGCGAGTGCTGTTCGTTTCTGAGGGACATAGCCGAGTTCTGTCCGTGTTTCTGTTTATGCTGCGTTTGCTTCTCGGCTCTTAATTAGCCACAACAAAGTGGGCAGGGGTGTTTTCTTTTTTTTGGTAGGCGATGTTGTAGGTCTTCCCAGGCTAGCGTGTCTATAGCATATTCGCACATACACATTCACATTCACATTCACATTCACATTCACATTCACTTCACATACCAGTAAAAAAAAACACACAGACACACATATTCTAATGAATCACGCTGACAAAAGGGTGTACTGCGGATTAGTTGAATAAAACGGCACACACATTTCCTGTTGATTGAACACAGGCCAGTCCTCATTCACAAGAAAAGCAAATGTCGGCGACGATTCGCAATTTCGAAAAAAGGGATCAAGAGGTGGTCCGCAGCTTGGTGCTCGAGGGCCTAGCTGAGCGTTGGGGCCCTGCATTCGACCCCTCATACAATCAAGACATTCTCGACATTCACAGCTACTATGTCGAACACCATCGCGCCACCGTCGTAGTGCTCGAGGACTCTGAACACGGGATCATCGGTTGTGGGATCCTGCTCCCCTTGCCAGCGGAGGACATTTATGGGACCTGGTGCTCTGAGCAAGCGTCGAGGACCGAGCAACTGACAGGACACAAACTCTGCAGGATGATGCGCCTATCCGTGGCCAAGGACCACCGAGGCAAGGGATATGCCAAGAAGATCATCCAGCATCTTATCAATGCGGCAAAGGAGCAAGGGTTCGATCGAATCTTAGTCGAGACAGAGACGCTTTGGACGAGTGCGGTGCAGATCTACAGGGCCATGGGGTTCCAGGTCGTGGAGGCGGGGGAGGAGAACATACACTATGAGTACGAACTTTGAGGAGCGTATCGCGTAAGGATACCCAGGCACATCCCCCATTAGGGTTTACCTGCCGCGGAATGTTATGTGCAAGTGCCAGGGGCGCCATTTTGGTGGCAACTCACGGCTACGGACGAGCAATTGACCAATCACAGCGTGGGAGGAGTCTCCATTGTTTTCACTGCGAAGCACAAAAAAAAAATTGACGACGAAGTCACCTTGCAGCTCTGCAGTATAAAAGGGACCCTCGTCTGGATGAGACGAACATTCCCTTTCGGGCCTCTTTCATTCTCACTACAATAAATCGTTGCCTTCAAAACAACTCCCTTGTTCCTTGCTGCCTTTGTCTCCTTTTGTCACTCTTCCACCTTATCAACAATGGTCAAGAAGTACGTTCTCGTCTCCGGAGGTGTCATCTCAGGCATCGGCAAGGGCATCATTGCATCCTCCACTGGTCTCCTGCTCAAGACCATGGGTCTCAAGGTCACCTCGATCAAGATTGACCCTTACTTGAACATTGATGCCGGAACCTTGTCTCCCCTGGATCACGGTAAATACCAGCATTTGTTTTCTTGACTGATTGCTGGTTGCAGCAGGCTGCATAATTCTGCCGCCACGAATGCTTTTCAAACAGTGAGGGAATAAAAAAAAAAATATTTACAGTGGCGGAGGCCCTAATATTTTTTTTTTTTTTTTTTTTTTTTTTTGGGTCCTGTCAGGCGAGGTATTTGTTTTGAACGATGGTGGTGAGGTGGACCTCGATCTTGGCAACTATGAGCGTTACCTCGATGTGACCCTGACTAGGGCCAACAACATCACGACTGGCAAGATCTATCGCGATGTCATTGAGCGCGAGCGCAAGGGCGATTACCTTGGCAAGACTGTCCAGGTGGTTCCCCACATCACCGATGCCATTCAGGACTGGGTTGAGCGTGTTGCCACCATCCCTGTCGATGACTCTGGCGAGGAGCCCGATGTCTGCATTATTGAACTCGGAGGCACTGTCGGTGACATCGAGTCCGCCCCCTTTGTCGAGGCCATGCGTCAGTTTCAATTCCGTGTCGGCCACGAGAACTTTGCCCTGATCCACGTCTCCTTGGTCCCTACCATTGGATCTGTGGGTGAACAAAAGACCAAGCCCACCCAGGCCTCGATCCGTGATCTCCGTGGACTGGGTCTTACCCCCGATCTGATTGCCTGCCGTTGCGAGAAGACTGGTCTTGACGAGGGTATCCGGGCCAAGATCTCCATGTTTTGTCACGTCCAGCCCAACCAGGTCCTTGCCGTCCGTGATTGCAACTCTGTCTATCATGTCCCTGAGCTCTTGAGGGATCAGGGCCTGGTCGATTTCCTCTGGAAACGTCTGAACATCGACCAGACTGTCACGATCTCACCTGCCCTGAAGGTAAAGGGAGATGAGATGTGGAAGAAGTGGAACGATTTGACATCCTCTCAGGAGCGTCTCCACGATTCGGACGTCGTCACAATCGCCCTAGTTGGCAAGTACACGAACCTTCAGGACTCCTACGCCTCGGTTGTCAAGGCCCTGGAGCACGCTACCTTGGCTCTCCGCAAAAAGTTGGTTATCAAGTGGATCGAAGGTACCGATCTTGAGCCCGAGACCCGTACCTCCAACCCTGTCAAGTACCACAACGCGTGGACGGACCTTTGCGCCGCCCAGGGTATCCTCGTCACTGGAGGGTTCGGTCGTCGTGGAACTGAGGGCAAGGTTGCCGCCGCCAAGTGGGCCCGTGAGCAGAAGATCCCTTACCTTGGTATCTGCTTGGGTCTTCAGATTGCCGTCATTGAATTCGCTCGCAATATCTGCGGCATGCCCGGGGCCAACTCGATTGAGCTGGATGAGAACACGACCACACCCGTGGTTGTGTATATGCCAGAGATCAGCAAGACTCACCTCGGAGGCACCATGCGCCTGGGTCTTCGCCCCACCGAGTTTCAGTCCGGCACTGAGAACTCAGTTATCCGCAAGCTGTACGGCGGTGGATCGACTGTCTTGGAGCGTCACCGCCATCGTTATGAGGTCAACCCCGAGCTCATTGAAAGGTTCGAGGCCAAGGGTCTTCAGTTTGTCGGCAAGGACGAGACGGGTCAGCGCATGGAGATTGTTGAGCTGGCTGATCATCCATATTTTGTTGGAGTGCAGTATCACCCTGAATTGCTGACGCGTCCGCTGAAGCCCTCGCCTCCCTTTGTTGGACTCATCTTGGCTGCCACCGGTGAGCTTCAGAAGCACATCTCGGCCATGTAAATGAAAAGCATCCACGAAGTAGATATATATTTTTATATTTGCTCGCCATGGTAGTAGATTGTAGCTAGCTTATATATCGAGTCTCTCATATACATCGTCGTTAGTAACTTATCTTTTCTTTCTCCTCTCTCTCTTTCTTCGTTACCCATCTGTATATCATATCCATCACCACAACTCCATATACTAATGCATCAATATAAAACCCAAATACACCACCACTCACTGTCTCCCCGAACAGAAATGACCGATGCAAACAAACGCGTGAGTGCTCAGCCTCATCAATAATGAAAATCTTAAATTATGCCACGAGAATAGGCCTGAAACAGTACGCGTTCCAGCCCACACCGTTGCAAATCAGACCATGGCCCACATGTCGCCTTCCTCGATGCTTTCGACAGTGCTACCTTACACTGGTATAATAACCCTTCACCCTCTGGTCTACCATTTTTTCTCTTTTCCACTCTTGGTCCATATCCATCGACCCTGACGAATCCCTTTTTATCGTTATTCCATTTGCCCCCACGTCCAGTCGAAATCACATCTACACACGTACACACACGCAGGCGTGCGCGTTATGCAGCAACAAGAAATAGTCCAGGCCCCAGAAATGGGGACATACCAGCCACAGCAACAACATTATCATCATCAGCAACAACAGCATCCAGAGCCCGCGTTTCTCAACAAACCTGTGGACCTCAATAGAACCGAAACTAGCACAGTCGTCGGACAGAGCAACGCCAACTACCAACCCCGTTCATTTGTATCGCGTCATCTAAAGACGATCCTCGCAGGATCCGTATTTCTGACTTTGGCGGCAACCGGTGCGTTAGTCGCACTCTTTATCGAGCGGCCATGGGACCACGGCAGGGATTCTTTACATGGTGGACTGGACAAGAGTGGCGGACACAAAGGTAGCCTCGATCGTTTTACAGAGACGTCGTCCGTCCAGATCTCGAGCATGATCTGTTGTAATAAGCTCACGCCTCCCTTAGATCAGCCGTTCAAGTATGGCACGGAACCGATCCGGGGACTGAACCTCGGAGGATGGTTGGTACTGGAGCCGTTTATTACGCCCTCGTTGTTTAATCCGTACATTAAGCAGAATGTGACGGAAGAGTATTCGTTGACGAAGCTTTTGGGACCGGAACAGGCGCGCGAGCTGTTGGAGAGGCATTATTCGACATGGGTGACCGAGAACACGTTTAAGCGGATCCGGGATCTGGGATTGAACCATGTAAGGATCCCACTCGGGTTCTGGGCCCTGGGGGACCTAGAGAAGGATGAGCCCTATGTACCGGACCTGGCGTTGGATTATCTGTTGCAGGGGCTCAGGTGGGCCGCGCAGTATGGGATCCGAGTGATGGTGGAGCTGCATGCCGCACCGGGTTCTCAGAACGGGTGGAATCATTCGGGGAAGATGGGGAAGATTGGGTGGTTGGATGGAACGGCTGAGGGGGAGAAGAATGGACAGAGGACGATTGAGTATATGAAGAAGTTACTGAGGTTGTTGCAGGGGCCGGGCATGGATCATGTGTCGCCATTGTTTGGGGTCTTGAACGAGCCTGCGATCTTTATGTTGGACAGGGATAGGATCAAGCAGTGGTACAAGGATGCGTTTGCGGAGATGAGGGATATTACCGGCGCGGGAAAGGGGCCTTGGGCGGTGCTCCATGATGGGTTCTTGGGACTGAACCAATGGGAGGGCTTCATGCATGGAGCCGATCGTCTTGCTCTTGGTAAGAAGGCCATTGCTCTCGATGTTGATATCCATCGTTTACCATGTGTGCGTGGCGGAGGGGGAGAGAGTTTCTAGCCAGCTACTCATCACTTCTTTTATGAGCTCATATCGAGCAGATGCCCACCAATACCTGATTTTCGACCAGAACCTGATCAGCATGTCGCGCCCGGAGCAGGTAAAGTTCCCTTGCGAGGTCTGGTCCCAGGATATGCAGCGCTCCGTCCTCAAGTTCGGTCCCACCCTCGTCGGCGAGTTCTCGTCCGCGACCAATGACTGTGCCACCTACCTCAACGGCATCGGTGCCGGCTATCGCTGGGATGGCACCTTCATGAACGAAAACGGCAAACCCGGGGAGGCCGCCTGCCAGCGCTCCAAGAACAACGATACCGATGGCTACTGCTCCTGTGATGCTCAGAACCGCATCGGCACCTATACACCCGAATACCGCCAGTTCCTGTCCGAGTTCACTCAGACCCAGATGGATGCCTTTGAGCAGGGTCTCGGATGGTTCTACTGGAACTTCAAAACTGAGACCAATCCTTTGTGGTCCTACTTTGACGGTGTCGATCAGGGGTAAGTTTTTGGTTTTTTGCCGCCGGCTATGTTCGCTTGATTGACAATGACATAGAGCTGACCGATTGGTTTATCTACAACATTCTGGGTTTGGTTCCAGATGGATCCCAGCGGATGCCAACAACCGCCCAGGAGGATGTGCTGCTGTCGGTCACCCAATCACTCCGTATGCGGAGGGGGTCAAAAAGGACTAATGCCGTTCCACCTTCGATCTTCAATCTTCGACATGTATATTATCTACCCCCATATTTTTGGCTCCGCAATTTCCAACTGTTATACAACATTTATTTTTGCTACACGATATTAAATAATACGCGAAGACTACCGTCTGTTGGGGTGCAAAAACGAATCCTCTAGCAACGCTGGTATCGTCATACGATCCTTCGCCTGGCGCGCTAGGCAGCCTTTCATAATCCGGATCAATTGCGGGTCCACCACAGCTGTTCCACGCGTGTCTGATGCTGCCACTTCATTATTATATGTCTTGGTCCCTGATGGTGTTCCTGCGCCTGTTTCTACTGTCCCCGTGAGAGTCGACTGATTCATAGTCCCTCCCATCTTCGTTGGGTTCCTCAGTGTGCCAGCATCACCCGTTCCTGCTGCTGTCATTCCTGGCTGTTGCTTGGGCTGTAAAGGCGAAGGTGTTGTTCTTGGGAATTCGATCTGATGGTCTGGGTTTGCGATCACGCTCATTTTCTGAAACACATTCACAATATCCGAGAACGGTGTCTTGCCATACACCATCTGGTAGAGGATGCATCCCAGTGACCATACGTCTGATGCCCTGCCCAGCTTGCGACATCCCCCTCCTGTTGGGTTAGATGCAATGGCCTCTGGTGCCATGTAGTTGGCAGTCCCCAGGTGTCCTTCTCGTTGAATATTGGTTGTGTCGTTTGCGATGGCATTGGCGATCCCAAAGTCGATGAGCTTTAGGGATCCCTCCACAAGGAGAAAGTTGGCGGGCTTCAAGTCCGAGTGCACAATCTTTTCATCGTGGATCACTTGCACTGCTTCCAGCATCTAAAGAGATTCGAACGTAACAAGCGTAAATGACGATGGCTTTCTTATGATATTTAGAGACAAGACCGCAGTATTCCTGTAGTATGGACAGCCCGCGGCAGTTTACCTGTCGCCAGTAAAGTCCAATAAAGTGGATATCGAACTCCTGCTCCCTCTGGTTGAATAGCATGTGCGCGAGGTCGATTTCGCCGTACTCCATCAGCTACAAGAGAATATGGAGACATAAAGGACCGCGTCTTAATATCCTGATCCAAAAAAGTCCATGATTATGTAAATTCAACACCTCCACAGTCTTTAACATACCAAACTCAAGGATCCTTTGGTGTTATCGATCTCAGCATCCCACAAGCGAACAATCCTTGAATTGCCCGTCAGTCGCTGCAACAATCTGATCTCGTTTACGTAGCCGCTGATTGTCGCTTGGTCGGCTTTTTCAAACGACACCTTCTTAAGCGCAAAAATCCTGGAATTCGAAGCAAGCACCTTGTATACTTTCGAGCTGCCTCCTTTGCCCACTTGCGCCAGCCTGGTATAGGGTCTTTTGTTTATCTGTAGCATGTTAAATACATTGAATGAAACACGTAAATGGATCAGATCAAAGTCGCTAACAGGCATAGCTGAAAAAAAAAAAAAAAGGCCGGCTTACTATCATGACCTGCCGGCCACCCAAATCTCCGCGGACAGGCCCCATTGGAGGCGAAAGCATAGCGGGTGATGTACTGGTCCCTGCTGAATCCTGTGGAAGACCAGCTCCAGACGTAAAAGGACCACCAGCTTGCTTTAAGGATCCCCCGTCACCATGTCGAAGGAGAGGATCCTGTTGCCCAGAAAATGGTCGCGGCATTGGTGGCGCCTTTGCAGACCCTACAGCCAAACTTTGAGCAATCGCCGCAATTCCATCTGAAGGAGCTAGTTTCAGTATCGGTAATGGCCCGGGTATTGGTACTGATGTCGGTGTTAATCCATTGGACTGATGCGGCGCTGAAGAAGGCTGTAATGACCTCGAAATTAGAGGCGATCTGGACGGCACTGATGATTCCACTGCGGCCCTACTCTCCAAGATAGTTTTCGTGTTTTGAATTCGAGGCGATCTGTTCGTAGCTGTCGGCTCTTTTGAAGATTCAGCAGAGATTGGTATACTGTGCGCTCTCGACGCAACAGGCTCTGCGCTCGATTCCTTCGACAGTCCTGAAGAATGGTCTGGAGAATGGTCTGGAGTAGTAGAGGGCGGAGATGCCGAAGACGTCGGTGTAGTGCGCGCGCTAGACCCTTTGCCATCCGAATGCGATCGAGCGAGTTGTGAGGCCTCATTGTCATATTTCGGCTTCTTACTCACTGATGCGGAGTCGTCGTAGTCGCGGTTACTTCCTTGACGCCCTCGCGTCAACCCTGTGGAGGCATCGTGCGTCAACGGGTCCTGTTGTATTGACGAATCCGTCGCCAAGGATACCCTTGATTCCTGTCGCTCCCTATCCATCCGCACATCTGCTCCATTCGGATTGTCACCGCCGTTGTTCGCTTCCGTCTTTGACTCCTCCGATTCATCTGGTTGAACAATAACCTCCCTCTGAGGGAGACCCCAATTGAGTGACTTTCGTGGCGTAAGTTTTGTGCTGGAAAGTGGGAGGGTGCGTGAGGTTCCTGGTGTCCATGGTAGATGGTTTTCTTTTCCTGGAGGGCTCTTGAACTTTGGTTGCGGCACGACGAACAACGGCTACCAACAATGATCAGTTATTAGATACCAATGTCAATAGCACTCTGCATAGGTGAATAGCGTTGAGGAAAAACTAGATGTCCATCATACCCTGACTTCAGCTGGAGAGGCGGATGCCTCCTCGAGGCCAGGCTTTTCTTGATCGGATACAGATAACCTGCGCAATCTGTGGAGGGAATCTTGCTGGGCTAGCCTCGAGGAGGATCGAAGTCTCTGTAAAGGCGTCGTATCAGTTACCGCGGCACTGTTGGTCGGGTCTGTCGAGAGAGGCGATGGTTTATGGGTCTCCTTAGTTGAAGGTTGCTCTAGGACGACAGACGATCGTGGCCCCTGTTCCAATATGACTGCGGGTTGATTCTCCTGGTTGACGTGGTCGTTTTCAGGCGGTACATCGTTATTAATGTTGGTCGCGGTATTAGCAATGCTTGCGTTGGTGCCTTTACTCTTTGGTTTCAGATAAACTGGTCGTTTTGGCGGTCGTATTGTAGTAGTTGCAAAGGGCACACTCGCTTCGCCAAAGTAATCCGCAAGATACGCCTCTTTTTCCTTTAGTTGCTCGACCTTGATGGGCCGCAGCTTTGGCGGTGGGAGGTTCCGTTTCTATAGATGGAGATAGAGGAGATATTAGGCTTTTGTCGTTCGTTTGAAAAGTGCTCACCAACAAAACGCGGCAGAGTCAGCCAAAAGGAGCACACCTTTTCCCGGGTCTCAAGGTCCGTCATGGCTTGAGAGACGGAGTGTTTGGTGGATGCTTGAGGGGATAGAGATGCAGCGTGTTAATCTGGAAGCCGTGATGCGTCGTTTGTTGGGGTAGGGTAGGGTAAGGATAGGTCGCGTTGTTGAATCCGGCTGAACAAGATGAACAATGAATCTGAACACGAGAAGGAAGTTGGTTTCTCGATGAGGCGAGGAGGAGAGTGTAAGAGGCTGATGGTGATGATAGTGATGATGTATAGGCGATGATACTGGTGATGCTGGAGGAGTGGATTACTTGAAGGGGGGAAGGGTATAGAAGCAATCGCAAAGGAGTGGAAGGCAGCAGTGTTGAAATGATGTGTGCGAGCAGCGGAAGGACAGAGGAGACAGAGGAGAGTGCGCGGGAGTGGTGTGCCTGGAAACAAAGAGAGTGTTCTGAGCTCAAATAAACATTTCTTATCCCGCTCAGCCACAGAGGCCCTTCTTTTTTCTTTTCTTTCATCTTACTCTTTAGCCCATCGACCCAACCCGTCCAATCATCCAACTCCATCCTCATCACTGCCACCCGGCACTGTAAGACATCCGCATCGAGCAACTTCAGCCTGTCTGCGGTTGGTTCTAGAAGGAAACCCCTGACAGCGCTCTTTCTTCTCCTGCCGCCCAATAGATTATAGTCATGTCTAAGACCACATTCACCATCGAAGGCCGAGGCCTCAAGCTCGATAGTGCTGCGGATGTCCAGGAGTTCATCGCCACTATCGAAGGCATGGACGAACTTGAAAATGTCATCCTCAGTGGAAACACCTTCGGCGTCGAGGCCTGCCGTGCCCTTGCTGCTGCCCTTGCTAAAAAACCTTTGTTGAAGGTACTCAGCCAATCACGGACGACGCTGTGCCCTATATGGCTATATGGTGCAGCGCTGTATGCATATACAATAAAGAGATTAAACTAACACTATCTTCATCTATTCCTTTTATCTCTCGAACAGCTCGCCCAATTCTCAGACATTTTTACTGGTCGTCTTCGCTCAGAGATTCCCGACTGCCTGGTCGCCTTTGGCGATGCCTTGAAGGACAAGAAGCACCTCGTGGAACTCAATTTGAGCGACAATGCTTTCGGAGCAGCCGGCGTCCATCCCTTGGTCGAATTCCTCACCACCAATAGAAACTTGCAGATCTTGAAGCTCAACAACAATGGATTGGGTGTCACTGGAGGCAAGGTCCTTGCCGAGGCTTTGATGACCGCACACCATAAGAACGTCGCCGAGGGCAAAAAGTCGTCGTTGCGCGTCGTCATTGCTGGACGCAACCGTCTCGAGAACGGCTCAAGCCCTGATCTGGCCAAGGCTTTTGCTGCTCATGGAACACTCACCCATGTCGCCATGCCCCAAAACGGAATTCGCATGGAGGGTATCGAAGCTCTGGCTGCCGGGTTGACCAAGTGCCCTGGACTCGAGATCTTGGATTTGCAGGACAACACCTTTACCAAGCGTGGATGCCGTGCCTTTGCGGCTGCTCTTCCCGCCTGGAAGGAATTGAGGCGTCTCAATTTTGGCGAATGCTTGCTCTCCAACAGGGGCGCCATTTTGCTGTCGCATGCTCTCGCTCAGGGACATAATCCCAAGCTGGAGTCGATCGATTTTACTTATGCCGAGATGAGGGAAAACGCTGTCTTGGAGTTGGCCAGCGTCATTTCTGCACATCTCTCCAACTTGACCAAGCTGGAACTAAACGGTAACCAGGTTGAGGAGGATAGCGCCGCTATTGACGCTATCCGCGATGCACTCTCTCGACACGGCCACGAGGATGCTTTGGGTGATTTGGATGACATGGAGGAGCCTGACTCAGGTGAAGAAGAGGAAGAAGAGGAAGAAAAGGAAGAGGAGGGCGAAGAAGAGAAGGAGGAGGGAAAGAAAGTTGACGATGAGCTGGCTAGGCTCGCTGCCAAGTTGGAGGTATAGACCCTCATACCGTGAGCTCGTCCGCTAGATCTCGTACCAAGTCTTCGTCCCTTCTGGGTACTTCATATCTCTCACTTTTACATAGCTGCCATCACTAGAAACCCTCTTTTTTTCCGCCCCTTCGCCGCCTTCCTGCCATAATAAAGACTCCTTACACCTGCTGCACCCGTGGGATACTACTGGAAATAAAGAAACCTTGATACAATCACGTCACCTTTCATTATTTCCAATGGCGATCGTGAGAATTTCTGGCATCCCTCGCCTTGTTTCCCCACTTTTTTTTCTCACCTTACTTCTCCTCAGCTCCTTCTTTCCTTCTCTCTTACGCTCTCTTCTGTTCCTCTCCCCTCCACCCCTTTTTCCCTCCTCTTTCATCTCAGTCGTTTGGACATCCCGTTCGCTTGCATCTACCCTCTCTCCTCATCCTCAGTTGCCGTTGATTCTCGTCCCAGTTGATTCCATCCAAACAAAGTAAGAAGCACTTCAACTGCGATCTGTTTTTGAATCCCATCCTCATCAGACAACTACCCTAATGGTGACATGCCATCGAAACACAGGGTTGGACAGACCTGACTTAGCTGCTGATGCTTTGTCTTTAAATTCCTGCCTTGACCGTGAGAAAGTAAGCATTTTCAGTAACACAATTTCTTTTATCTCCATCTAAAGTTCATATAGCCATGTTTGCTGCTTCTCGCTCTTCGATGAATGTCCTCAGGACCAGAGTAAGGATCTTTTTTGATGTCTTTTTTGTGATCCGTGTTTCTAGGCATCATAATGGTTGATTAACAGAAAAAAACACTCTTGGCTGCTTCAATTGGTGCAGATTGGTCAGTCTACACGCATCTCTTCGGCCCGTATGGTTTCCGGTCAAAGATTAAAGTATTCCATTAGCACCAAGGTACCCCACGGAGCATTTTTTTTTTTTTTTTCACAACACATTATTTCTCATTATTCACACTTCTTGATCATGCTACTGTAGACCACCGCCGCCCTGTGTTCCAAGGTCATCCGTCAGCAGCCTGTTTTTGGTATCAACCACGTTCACAGATTCCATGCTTCTGCCCTTGCTAATGCCAAGGTCCCCTTCATGCTGGCTGATATTGGAGAGGGTATCACAGAATGTGAGGTTATTCAATGGTATGATCCTTGAGTAGCTGTATCTATATTTCTCAGCATTAGTTTTTGCGATGGGAATGGACCGTTCCTTTTTTTTCGCTTTATTTGTTTGGCGTTGTACACTAGACTATAACTAACAATTGTACAAATCTTCCTCATCACGACAGGTTCGTCAAGGCTGGCGACAAGGTCGAGGAGTTCGACAGGCTGTGTGAGGTTCAATCAGACAAGGCCTCTGTTGAGATCACATCCCGTTTCACAGGAACGATCGCCACGCTCAAGTACCAGGTCGGAGATATGGCCAAGGTTGGAAAGCCCCTGGTCGAGATCGAAACTGGCGACGCCGATATCGCTGCCGCAGAGGAGGTTACTGCTGACGGTCCCATCACTGCTGGACCTGACGCTATGTCTGACTCGGCCCCAGGACACGCAGCACCTGAGGACGGTTTGAGGGCCCATTCGCATGTGATCCAGGACATGAATGCGGTTGCAGCCATGACGGACAGCGCTCCTGGAAAGGCAGAGAGAGTCGAGACCCCCACAGCTGAGCACATCCTCACGTTTGCCACACCCGCTGTCCGCCGTGTTGCCAAGGAAAACAATGTTGATATTGCGCAGATCAAAGGCTCCGGAAAGGGCGGCCGTGTGATGAAAGAGGATGTCATGGCTTACCTTACCAACGGACGACAGTCAACTGGTAGGTGAAAGAAAGGTGGCTCCAATGGTTCGCTACCGAATATCTTGATAACTCTTGGTCTGAAATTGACATGAATTTTGTCCTTGATCTATTGCTACGAATAGCTACTTCCAAGGCTGCCAGCACACCCACTGCTACTACACCTGCCAAGGCTCACATTCCCGCCGGCGAGGACAAGGTCCAGCCCCTAAGCATGATTCAGAAGGCTATGTTCAAGCAGATGACCAAATCTCTGTCGATTCCCCACTTTGGATTCGCGGACGAGATCATCCTCGACAATGCCACTGCCTTCCGCGCGGCCTTGAACACCTACGTCGCCAAGTCGCCCGAGAAGTACAACTTCAAGAAGGTTTCGTACATGCCCATCTTCATCAAAGCCCTCTCCGTCGCCCTCGAGCAATATCCAATTATGAATGCCTGCATCATCGATGGCGACGATGCCTCGACCGCCAAGCTCAAGTACCGTGCGTCCCACAACATCGGTGTGGCTATGGACACACCCAACGGCTTGATCGTGCCCAATATCAAGAACGTCCAGAATTTGTCTGTCCTTGAAGTCGCGTCCGAGCTGGCCAGGTTACAGGAGGCCGGCAAGAAGAATGCCATTCCCATGGCGGATCTCAGGGACGGTACCTTGTCGCTGTCGAATGTCGGCATGATCGGAGGCACGTACTTGAACCCCGTGGTCGTCACGTCTGAGGTCGCTATTGCTGCCGTCGGCAAGATGCAGCGTCTGCCTCGCTTCAAGATGGTTGAGGAGGACGGAAAGAAGGTCGAGCGTGTGGTCGCCCAGCAGATCGTCAACATCAGCTGGAGCGCTGATCACCGTGTCATTGATGGTGCAACCGTAGCCCGCTTCAGTGAGGCCTGGAAGACGGTTGTTGAGAACCCCTTCTTGCTCGGTGGCATGCTTCGTTAAAGAAACGACGGCGAGTTTTTAGAGCGATGTCATCTGCTTTTTTAGTTATTTCCTTTGGGTTCGGCACAACTGCATTACATATTTTAGAGCGTCATTACCACTATTAAAGAAACGTTTTCAAAGATGATGAACATGCACTTGACATATTTTTTCTCTGGTTTATTATAATGATGATGATGAATGGTCTATTACTGCTTCTCGTAGAAATGCAAGTCTGCCAGGGGTATAGATCGGACATGGACATGCTGAAAAGACCCGGTCCCTGCTGAAGCATTGGTGGTGTAAGGACGATTCAGCTCACTACTATTAGGAGCAAGGTAATACACCTGCTCGATCTTCATCTGTTCGAGATAGCCCTTCAGCTCTGGGTCGTAAAACATGCCGACGTCATCGGGCCCATGAGAGTCATCCGACAAGGTCACCCTTCCTTGTTTCGAGAGGATGTACTAGGGCAACAGAAGTGGAGCAAGCCTCGGTAGTTAGGAATCAGATTCTAACTGACCGACCGGCAAAAAAAAAAAAAAAAAAAAAAATGGCACGCGATGACCTTTGCTGTCTTTACCTCTAAAATGTCACGTTGTGGATACGCATCGGCAAGGCCCTTCTTCCATGCACGCGAGTTGAGTTCAAATAGGCCTCCATACGCGATCACGAAATCGACGTTCCGCTTCACCAGCCTCCACAGGTTGTCCGTCAATCTGTTCTGGCTCGAAACTGTGGGGTCCTCCTGCTCCTGTTCCTGCTCATTTCCATCCTCCTGATGGTGATGGTGATGGTGATAGTGTCCCTTGATCGCACTGAAAAAAATGCGCACCAGATCCAAATGTCCCACGACCTCTGGTTCCAACCCTTGAAGCATTTCAAACTGTGAATCAAAATACATTTCAAATAATTTCTCCCATGATCCTTGGCCCACATCCTCCAATGCCTTGAGATACAACTCCTGTGAAAAATCCAATGGTACTCCACGGACATGGTGCAGCGATCCCACGATGTACTGGACTTGTGGTAAGATCGATATTCCTTCCACTGTTTCTGTAGTCAAGAATCGGCTTTGACGGTTGGGCTGTCGAAGGTTGCGAACAAGATCGATGGATTTGGAGTCAAAGTATTCGGTCTCGAGACCGATCAGGAGACAGATCTTGTCGCTGTATTTTTGCTGGAGTCTTATAGCTTCCTGTAGGAATTGGTCATACTTTCTCTCGAGGTCCTGGGTTGTCAGATGGGACTACCAATTGAATAGCGATTGAAATGGAGAGAAACAGATGGATTGTTAAAGATTAGTTAGCACACACACACACACACACAGCAATTGATGCGCAAATGCTGATATCAATCGTAGTACAGTTGCTCTTGCCGCGCGGTATTTATTTACCTCTTCCGGATAGAGCTGATCGGGACTATAGCGAGGCATATGCTCGGAGAGGCCATAGGTCGTGAAGCGTCGTTCGATAGCGGACTGTACGACCTGTTCGAGCGTGCCCTTGGCGTGCATACAAAACTGGCCTGAATGCGAGTGGAACGAAAACATTCTTTATTCTCGGCGATGAAGGGAGAATGAGGAGAGAGGAATGAGGAATGAGGGAGCTGTGAGGGATCAAGACGAGATAGTCGCGGCAAGTCACCCGTAGTGACTGTTGCCGCGTTCAAGACGAGCCATGACTGGGCCCATGCACTCCAGAAGAGACGGATGTTGGCTATACCGCAAACGGTTTGCCGCGTTTGAGAAGAAACCGTTTCTTCTGGGGGCTTTTTTCTTTCCTCTCTCTATCTCTCTCTCTCTCTCTCTCTCTCCTTCTTTCTTCCTCCATCTTTCTCTCCTCTACCTTTCTTTAACTCTCACTACTCGTCTATCCTCAACGCCACCAACTCCTCGCATTTTACCACATTTTGCATTCTATCCCACGCTCTACAACATGTCACTTCTACGTACAACCGCTAGTCGCTCCTTCGCCCTTGTGCGGATGGACAGTGCTGCCCCCACTGCAGCACTCCTCTCTCATTGGACCCGCTCTTTCTCAAAGTAAGTAAACGTTCCGGTAGAAATTGCTACATTGCTGGTATGATAATAATATGAAATTTCTTGTCAGCTTTCACTTCTTAAACGCTACTTCCGTTGATCACTGATACTCTTATAGCTCCACCCAAGGTAAGGTGTTCAGCCACGGTCTGGAAGAATCTTTCCGAACACGGTTTGTCCGACCGGGGGTTTCTTTTCTGAGGTGGTGACATCATGGTCTTACATGCCATTCACCACTGCATTTTTTTTTTCTCACGAACCTCATCCATGCATTTATGCAAGTCAACAACAAGAAGGACGTGATCAAGAGCGCGCCCGGATGGAGCCCCGAGAAGGCCACGGAGAGTGAGGCTGATGTCAAGGCCGATCGCGAACCTAGCCCCTCGAACATCAGGGAGCTCCAGGAGGAAACGATTGAGATCATCGTTGAAAAAGAGGACTCCAACGGAAACATCTTTGAAAAGACGACTCAGAAGTTGAAGCACACGATCGAGGAGGTCGAGGATTCTGGTGGGAGAGCGGAGGAGAATATGGTAAAGAACGGAGAGAAGGTGATCGAAAAGATGGCCCATCGTGCAGAGGAGGTCGGTGCGGCACTGGGCAAGACCACGGGTACGGTCAAGAACAGAGTCGAATATGCGGAGGACTCTGTCAAACACGAGGTCAAGACTGGAGCGCAAAAGGTTTCGGAATTTGTGAAGGAGTCAATTGATTCGGTCAAGAAGACCGTGGGACTCGGAGGAAATGGATCTACGACCGAAAAGATCAAGCAAAAGGTCAAGAAGGCTGACGATAGGGTCGACAGCGATCGTGGGGCTTAAGGCGAATAAGGAGAGGGATAGCATGGGAAGGGTCAGAACTCGACAATTTAAGAGACCTTGGTCGTCTCCCCCTGTCCCGCGACCCCTGTGCACCATACATCAAGGACTATTAGCTTTGCGCAGCAAACAACAGCAACACTCGTCATTCGTTTTGTAAATATATTCAAATGGGGTTGCTCTTCACGATTAAAAAAAAAAAGAAAAAAAAATGGGGTATCCAATAGTGAATTATATGAATGATAGTTATAATACGACTCAAACCATCTCAGCCGACATCTCAGACATCTCAGGTTTGGAGCCCTTCTGCTGGTTGGTATTCGTCTTGAGCTCCTTGTGCTGGATGAAGCAGCTCATGATAATTGCCATCGTACAGAACGCGACACAGCAATAGAAAGCGTAATGCAATCCACGCACAAAGCTGTTGTAAATCATCTCTCGCTGTTCAGGGCTGTACAAATAAATGTAGCTGTATTCCTGGGTCACCCGCATGATTGATTCATCGCCAGGGAAGTCCCTCCGCAACGAATCATCCAGTTTGTTGTTGAAAACCGTCCCGACAATGGCTACACCAAAGACTTGGCCGAGCGAGCGCACAAACTGAACCGAGGCCGTCACCGTGGCCATGTACTTTAGTTTCACGGCCGATTGCACCGCCAGGGTTGAGGCCTGCATCGTGAATCCCATGCCAAGGCCACAGACCAAGAGGACGAAGATCGTCACGACGCGTTTTGTGTCTCGTTCGAAGAGGATGCACAGCGCAGAGCCGGTGATGAATAAGAAGTTGCCCATGGCAGGAAAAAAGGCAAAGGTGCCCCTCTTTAGGACCCAGAAGCCAGAGGAGACGGATGTAATCAAGATTCCAACCACGAAGGGGACGGTCTCCAGGCCACCGACGGTCGCAGATTCCCCTTGACGACTTGGAAGTACACGGGAAGATAGAAGAGAATGCCAAAGAAGGACATACCGCCGAAGGACAATGAACCATAAGTCACCCAGAGGTTGAGAATCTTGTACAGATAGATTGGGACAATGGGCTCGTTCGGGATCTTCCACTCGATCAAGACAAAGATAATCGCCGCAGCAACACTCGCAGAGCAAACCGATAATGATACCCGAGTCCCACGCGTACTTGCTACCGCCCCAGCTCAAGGGTAAAAGAATCAAGGTCACGGCGACCAGGAGCAAGAACGAGCCCAATAAATCGACCCGCTTGATCTTTTCCTTTAAGGAGCCCTTGGGTGTCGGTAAGTTGAGGTTGATGACAATAAACAGGATCGAGATCGCACCGATAGGCAGGTTGATCCAGAATAACCATCGCCAGGTTACATGGTCTGTGAAGGTACCGCCCAGGAGGGGACCGATGACGGACGAAAACGAGAAGATGCCACCGACAAAGCCGAGATATTTGCCACGCTCGCGCATATCGAGCATGTCCGAGAGAATGATGAAGACCATGGACATGAGACCGCCAGCACCGACACCAGAGAGAGCGCGACCGATGATGAGCATCGTCATCGAATTGGCCCAACCGGAGATCGCGATCCGAAAAGGAATATGAAGTTTGCAAACAACATTGTTGTCTTGCAACCAAAGATGTCCGAAACCTTGCCTGTTGTTGGATTGAGCATTGGAGGTTGAGATATACAAATCCGGTTAGAACCAGCGCACTCAGCAAACATGAATATAAATGGGATTATTGCCCTGTACACTACCATAAAGCGGCTGGAAAGCAGTCGAGGTCATAAGGTAGGCAGTTCCCAACCAGGATATATCACTGAGGGAATTGTATTCACGGGTGATGGCGGGAATGGATGTGGACAGGATGGTCTGGTCAAGACTTGCCAGGAAAACGCATAGGGAGAGTCTACAAAATGCGTTCAAAAGGACGATAAACGCGGCTGAGTACGTGTTGGGTAATACTGCAATAAGCGCATTTAGGCGCAAGTGATGTAAAAAAGAATTAGACGATACAAGTCGCTGCCGCAGAAAACATACGCGCACTTACGCGATCATGATCAGCACAAACTGCCTTGTGGGTGGTTTGTGGAAGAGATGGGCAGGAGTCTCTGCCTCGGGAGCAGGAACACTCTCGCCCACGGATGAGGATGATCCATCAACAGCAGCGTCGTCTTCTTCCTGCTACTGCTCGACAGTCTTGTCGTTGGATTGCGGGACTGATCCTTGTTTATGATTGTTGTAGAGGGGGAGGGAAGGGGAGGAAAAGGTAGTAGTGGGTGTGGTAGGAGAGATGTTGACACTAGTCGAGTGCTCGTGATGGCTCTTATCAGTCCCTGAAGGCATGTCTGATTGCAGTGTCAGTGTGAGTGTGGATATGGGTGTGAGTGTGAATGTGAGTAGGACGGAATAGAGAGTACAGACGTTAGGATGTGTGAAGAGTCAATTGCCGGTATCAAAGATCGATGTTGTAAATAATGGACAGCGCGTCTTTTTTGGTGGCGAGTGGGGAACAAAGGATTTATATTCATTTCTTTGAAGGGGACGAAAAGATGCAGCGCGCGACTGACCGAAGACGCGCAGCTCTCTTGGACCCTATTCAGAACAGAGTTTTATGTGCGAAGATAAATCACAACGGCATTGCTGAAGAAATTACCCGCACCCTGTGCTACCCTGGCCCCCACCCTCACTCACTTGCATTCTGACACACTTTATGGGTTCCCGGTAGTCATTGGTATCCGCCATCGAATATGCATTCGCCTCTCACTGCTCACCCTCAATGAATGCGAGGGATTCGCATGCCAAGACGTGAGAAAGGACAAGTTCAATCGGTAATACACAGGTCAATCTAAACGCGACCAAAAATTCTCGTATTCGCCATGTACGATCTTATTTTTTGCTTCGGCACGATCGCGTAGCTTTAATTGCCAAACGCTCCTTCTTTGAGCAGTGCAACCCAAAGCGAGTTAAGGATGCGTGCTTGATTTTTTATCCGATACAGTTGGAATACATGCGTGTCTACACAATTGCGCATTTAGTCTATTTCTTCTAGTCTTGGCAATCTCTCTCCCGAACGTCTCTTCTTACATTGGCGATTGCACGACATCAGTTCAATCTTTCTTTTATTGCGCGTTGAACACTTGAGTCCAAGAGAAGACGCAATGCTTTGAGGACCATCGAGAGAGAGCGAAGACCTGTGCGTGTGAGGCACCATGTCGATAACGTGAGGCTGGCAACGCAAATATCAAAACTTGCTAGTTGTATCCGCATTTACCTGTGGAGAGAACTGGTAAGATGTGGAGTAAACGTGGTTTTTGACGCGCCGCTCGAAGGCGCCCATCATCTTATCATCGCAGTTGCCAACGGCAGATGGCATGGAGATTAACCGAGAATTATCCAGCTAAGGGTCTAGAGTCATGGGCGAAGCTGGGATTTGGCTGTACAACATTAGCATTGACAGGGATGCGCACCGCCACCAAGAAATCTTTTCTCTTGGAAGCTCTTGGCATGTTGCATAGGAATGTACCCATGGTTGGATTAGATAAAGAAAACAAGGATAAGCTGTTGCGTCTTGACATGAGTACAGTACCTGATGCTGCACGAGCACTTGGATCTCCAAGATAGAACAGCTAGGTAAACTGCCAATATTTAGATAACGCCTTGTCCTTGGTAGATCTGATAACAGCAGCAAACACTCTTAGCCAAGACTGTGAACACTCCAACACTGAAATATACTCGTTCTATTGAATAGAACTTTGCTCCCCTGTTGCCCTTGTTTTCCTAGATCTCTGTCATCCTCTCCTAGACTGCCTTTTACGCGCCTTGTCTATCCTGATTTGCAGTCCATCACCTTTCTTTTTTCTGCAAGTGTTGCGCTGCTGCTTCCGCCGAGATATTATATGCCGAGAAGTCTACAGCATACTTCCGTGTCCCGTTTGGTATTCCACTCCCATCGCCTTCAATAAGCGTTCAATCCACATGCATGAGTTCCCAGGATGGTCTCAGCTGGTTTTTTTCCCAGGCTAAGTTATATCAACAGGGTGAAACCGCATGTAGCAACGCCGCTGACGCTTGGTATTGTCTCCAACAGGTGGTGAGTCTTCTCAAATGCTGCTCTATGCTCAGGAGACATCTAATAGGGAATCTGAGGCAATCGTACCACATCTCTCCACCGCGAGGGAGAGATAGCGATTGCGATCAGCACGGGTATACGTATATTTGTCGGGCGCGACTTCTAAAGCGCCACTTTTTCATTCAATAGAGCCCTGACTTCCCTTCGACTTCGTTTGCTGTGGCAGTGCAGACCCATTTGACATAGATCGAGATCTCGAACTGGGTGTTAGACTACTATGGTGGGCAATCAAAAGTATCGATGGCATAGCCTCTGGCCTTGGTCGATGGTTCCCTCTTGTGTCGCGCATCAATTCGAATTATGGATGAGTGTCAGCGATTTCAGGAGCATGAAACGGGGCATCCATTTGACCCCGCCAATTTAAGAAGCATTCGCAACTCCATGGATATGTCAGTGTTAATGTATACGTGGTTTTGCTACATTTGGATGCTGGTGCAGATGAAGATCCCGGCTAGTCCTTTAATTCGCAGACAGCCTAGGGAGTAGTCCAGTTGGTGCTCACAGTCCGTCTGTCCAAGGGCAGGTTGACAACGCAGAAGCGTCGCCCAATGTGCGGATTGCTGCACATCGAGCCCCCTTTGTGGTTCAGGCGTTCTGACAAATTACAATTTCTCGCCCAATCAACGGAGGACAACGATGAGGCTTTCATAAAATTAAGTACGCGTACATGTGTTACATTCCTCTCGATGGTTCTTTCCGCACTACCTCCATGCAACAGAACCCACGTACAAAATCCATAATTAAACGGAGGGATCAACCTTTTTTTACTTCTTTCTCATCTCTTTCATCCTCTTCTTCTTTCATCTTTCTCCAGTCCCTCCTCCGCTCCTCTCCTCCACCACCACCTCCACCCCACACTCTAATATCAATCATGCGTCTCTCTGCTGCCGTTGCCCTCGTTGGTCTTGCCGCCACTTCTATGATGGCTGGCGTCCACGCCGAGTCCGATGTCCTCGAGCTTGGTATCAAGAACTTCTCCGAAAAGGTCAACCCTGAGAAGTTGATCCTCGTTGAGTTCTTTGCCCCCTGGTGCGGACACTGCAAGGCCCTTGGTATGTTTGACATTTCCTGCACGCTCTGGATGCACTTTTCCTTGGTTTGTGGGAGCACGTATGTTAATATTGACATGGGCATTGACATTAATCCTCTCTATGACCATTCTTTCTTGCCTCAAATAGCCCCCGAATATGAGATTGCTGCCACCCAGCTCAAGGAGGTCGGTATCCCAATTGCCAAGGTCGATTGCACTGTCGAGACCGATCTTTGCCAGGAGCACGGTGTTCAGGGCTACCCCACCTTGAAGGTCTTCAGGTAATTTCCCACAAGCTGTGTCTTAAGGCTCAGGATTCGTGATGAGAATACTGGATCTGAAAAAAAAAAAAAAAAAAAAAAAAAAAAAAAAAAGCTGTGTATAATGTCCATATGCACGCAGAGGTTTAGGCAGTCTACTTGGGAATGTGCTTTCAGGGCACAGGGTGCTATACTAAGGAACACTCATTTGACCGTGAATGCTCACTCCTATCCTTTTTCTCTTTCCCTTATGCGAACAGGGATGGTGAGGCCGCTGATTACAATGGTCCTCGCAAGGCCGATGGCATTGTCTCCTTCATGAAGAAGAAAGCCCTCCCTGCCGTCTCCGAGGTCACCGCCGATAACCTTGCTACCTTCTCCGAGTCTGACAGAGTCGTCATTGTCGGTTCCTTCGCCAAGGACTCTGAGAAGCGTGCTATCTTGGAGAAGATTGCCAAGGCCTACAGCGATGACTATGTCTTTGGTATCGTCGAGGAGAACCCTGACCTCAAGGGCGAGGGTGTTGTCCTTTACAAGAAGTTCGACGAGGGCAAGAACATTTTGGATGGAGACTTCACTGAGGAGTCCCTGCTCGAGTTCGTCAAGTCCAACAGCGTTCCCGTCATGGACGAGATCGGACCCGACAACTATGCCACCTACATGGATGCTGGTGTCCCTCTTGCTTATTACTTCTACTCCACCCCTGAGCAGCGCGCCCAGCACAGCACCGAGATTGAGGCCCTTGCCAAGGAGTTGAAGGGCAAGCTCAACTTTGTCTACATCGACGCCTCCAAGTTTGGTGCCCACGCCGCCAACTTGAACTTGAAGGAGTCCTGGCCCGCCTTTGGTGTGCAGAACGTCGTCAACGGCGCCAAGTACCCTTTGGATGGCGAGATTTCGATTGAGAAGATCAAGTCTTTGGCCGAGGGTGTCTTGGAAGGCACCATCGAGCCCTCGATCAAGTCCGAGCCCATCCCCGAGACCAACGATGGCCCCGTTAAGGTCGTTGTTGCCAACACGTACAAGGAGATTGTTGAGAACCAGGACAAGGATGTTTTGATCGAGTTCTATGCTCCCTGGTGCGGCCACTGCAAGAACCTTGCGCCCATTTACGAGGAGTTGGGAGAGTTGTACAAGGGTTCTGACATTGTGATTGCCAAGCTCGACGCAACCGCCAACGACCTCCCCTCAGATGTTCCCTTCCAGATCCAAGGTTTCCCCACGATCAAGTTCCGCAAGGCCGGCAGTACCGAATATGTCGACTACAGCGGCAACCGTAGCAAGGAGGACTTTGTCAAGTTCATTGGCGAGAACGCTGTCAACAAGTTTGATGTCAAGGTCGAGGAGGAGAAGCCCGTCCAGGCTGATGACATTGAGCACGACGAGCTGTAAATAAGCCCATCGAGGAAGCACGACGTTTAACAAGCAAGCATATCGCGAACATTGTATAGTAATTATTATTAAAGCCCTTTTTATTCTAAGCATTGTTGACGAGCTGGATGACGCAAAACAGGGATGGCAAATAGTGCCCTGGTCTGCTCAGCACGTTTGATCTACAAAACCCAGGTCAACAGGGGACTATCTCAGGTACAGGTCGTATCCGATCAGGAGGCCATTTCTCCTTATATCTTTCCTCGCCTCTACCTTTTTACGTTCATTCATTCATTTTCATTCATTCATTCATTCATTCATTCATTCTTTCTTTCATTTGCTCATTCCACCCTGCCCCAACCTCAACAACACTCCCTTCGACAATGATAAAACGGACTCCCCTACGCACACTTGCAACTGTCACTGCCTTCAGGACCAGGACCTACATACGCGCCTTCCACGCAGAGACCAAGGTGATTCCTCAGGCTCATTACAATGTCGTCTTTGACATCGATGGCGTCCTCATCAAGGTAACAAGCATTTTTGACTGTACCAAGCCCACGCATGCAGACCGCCCTTTGTGATCGTATGAAGCGATGTCTAACCCACACATGTATCCTTTGTTCAATCACACTCATTCCTTTGGCGCTAACAGGGCAAGCAAGTGCTGCCACAGACCCACCGTGCACTGAGCCTGTTAAAAGCGTAAGTACCCCCTAGTTGCAAGCAAAAGGATCCGTGCAGCGTTTTTTATTTTCCCGAGAAATGAAAAATACTCCATTGAAAACGTCCGTGTGTTCTTTGTGTGGCACTCATTCTTCCTTTTGTTCCTGTAATGTAGCAACAATGTCCCATATATCTTCTTGACCAACGGTGGAGGACTCAAAGAAACCGACAAGGCTGCTCAGCTCAGCAAGAAGATCGGTGCCCACGTAAGAAATAACCTGAACCTTCATATATTTAACGCGGTCAGCATATGACGTTTTTGTGAGCGCCGCTAATATTATTTCTTCCCTCTCCATCGTCATGAACAAATGATTTTCATTTAACGCCCGATAGATTGCACCGGAGCAATTGATCCTGTCGCATTCGCCGATGCGTGCACTTGCCCAAAAATACGAGCACAAGAATGTGTTGGTCGTTGGAGGCAACGGATCAGATTGTCGACAGGTGGCGGAGTACTATGGACTCAAGCATGTTGTCACGCCAGAGGAAGTTCATGTGGCCTTTCCCTATGTCTGTCCCAGTTCTGCGATTGAGGCGCGTGAGATTCCTTTGCCAGAGGTAAAACACCATCTTGCAAAGCAAAGCGGTGGAGCTTCAAACAGAAGTGGAGACGGAGACGGGGGGTTGGCTATATGTTATTGGCCAATTCTCAAGAAAGGATGGCATTTTTTTTTGTTCGCGTTACCGTTCTGACATCATCCTATTTCATCTTGTATAAAAAAATACAGAAATACCTCCAGAATGTAAATCGACCGGTCGAGGCGATCATGGTGTTCCACGACTCGGTGGATTGGGGAAGAGATCTCCAGGTGATGCTGGACGCGTTGGTCTCGGTAGATGGGTATCTGAACACGGTCAAGTCTCAGGCGGAACTGCATACCACGAAACAGTCCGTGCCGCTCTACTTTTCGAACTCTGATCTGGTACGAATGTCCGTGCCCTTCTGCACAAGGACGAATTCTCTTGCTCGTCTCTTTTTGCATTTTTGCATTTTTGCATTTTTGTATTTTTTATACTGATCCCAATGTCCTTGCGTGTTGGAAAATAGGTGTGGAGCAATGAGCATCCGAATCCGAGGTTTGCGCAAGGAACGTTCAGGACATGTCTTGAAAGGATATACCAGGTACTGGAGCTAAGATAATAGGATAACAGATATTGTGCGTGTCAAGTTTCTAGGATATCTCTTGGCACAGTGTCCTTATCACGAATTCTGCCTCTGCTCTTCATAGGATATGACGGGACATAAGCTGGAATACACGCTTTTCGGCAAACCCATGAGGCCAACCTACCAATACGCGGAATCAGTGCTCAATAACCTCGCACCTATCCACATCGGTCCAAACGGCATGCCGAAACCCAGGACAGTCTATGGTAATAATCATCAGGAAAAGGAAAACTACAGTCAGATTGCAGAAGAGCGCCGTCTGTAAGGATTACTCACGTTGGACCCGCCCATCTTTACCACTTTTTTTTTCGCTTTTTGTCTCATCTATTCTATAGCGATCGGCGATAACCCATACGCGGACATTGCGGGCGCGAATGCATATGGTTGGAAATCTGTCCTGGTCAGGACGGGGGTGTTCAAACCGGAGGGCGACGAGAACCACCATATACACCCTGCTACGACTGTTGTGGACGATGTCGAAGACGCTGTACGGTGGATTATCTCTACCGAGATACGGAAAGAGCATCCATTCTGATTTCAACTTGGATCAATCGATACTTTTTTTTTCTTTCTAACCCCTTCATAGAGACTATAGAGCAACTTTGGAATATGAATATTAGAAAACTTTTAATTTACCTCGACGACATCTGCTATGGATTGTTGAGTGGAGCTTCAGTGAAGGACAAACTGCATTATAACAAAGAAAGAATACGATAAAAACGATACAAGATGATGATGATAACTTTCTATATACAGATAGGAATGCGGAAGGATGGTGCGAGCAGTAGTACTTTGCCTGTTCTACCTCCTTTACTCTCCACCTTCTCCCTCAGGTCTCTTGATAGTGGGCCGACGGTACAGACGAGCAACCTGATCAGCCGAGTACTGTCGCAGAGGTGAGTTGGGACCCAAGGTTTCCTGATCATCCAAGCGCGCAGAGCTCTGAGACCTTTCAATCTCTTCAAAATCGCGGTTAAAGACCTCCACACGCTGGGGCAACGCATAGTAACGGATGCCGATCTCCTCCACAGCCTCCTTGAGCGCGTAATTGAACTAAGAAAAAAAAAAAAAAAAAAAAAAAAGAATAAGTATAAGTATAAGTATAAGTACAAGTATACTGAGCCACACGAAAATCGCAAGACCGAAAGTGTTGCGGAGGACATGGGGAATGGTAGTGAAGTGAAAAGTCTTACGGCAGTGCGACGAGCCCAACGACGACCCGAGTCTTGCCAGTTGCCCTTGTGTTCGATACACATGCTGATCTTGAGCTTGGCGTCCATCTCCTGGATCTGGATCTCGAGATCCGGCAAGAACTCTTTGCTCTCCTTGATGAGATAATCGCGCATTCTTGCTCGCAGCTCCAGGATCTTGTACTGAGGAGTGTAACAGTCGATATTGAGCACTATTGAAGGGAAAAAAATGGTATAACGGTTTAGAAAGGTATTGACATTCCTTTCATGGGTACAATGTGGCCACTCCTTCATATGGACTTACCAATCTTATCAGTCATATTGGGTGAGCGACGGACGTTGTGGATGGGCTTCTGGCTGACGACATTGTTGGGATAATACATGCGTTTGCCGTCCCATGTCACGAATGTCGTGCTGTTCAGTCCGACCTCTCGCACATACATGTCGCTGCCATCGATACTGACCAAATCCCCAGAATCGTATGGGTGCTAATAACATGCAATACAAAAGAAGAGGAAAAAAAAGAAAAAAAATTAGAAACCTCAGCTTGCGAGAAAAAGATAATGAGGAGAACAATTAAAGACAACATGCTTACCGTGATGAACAAAAAGACGATATTCTCGAATAAGATTTTAAGCGAGTTTCCAAACACAAAGCTGAGTGCAACCAAGAATGAGCCAATCGAGAGCATGTTCTTGACCACATCCTTGCCAAAGATCGACAACACGATCAACAGCCAAACCACCGCGACGATCGTCAAGAAAATGATGTCCAGCTTGCCCACAGCCTGCGAAAGATCTCTTAGGGAGGTGTACAAATCCTTACGCTCCTTATAGACATAAAAGATCTTCTCCTTCATCTCGCTCTTGGAGATATCACCGTTGCCGTCCTTGTCGAAAATGGCGAACGCCTTCTGGGCCTCTTCTGGGGTATCGAAATAAGGGTAGAAGTTCTCGATGACCAGGTCTTCGCCGTTCGTCTGGAGATTGTAGAACAACGTCTTGGCAAGTCGCTTGGCGTTCGCGGTCGAGCCGATATCTTTGCTGGGCGAGGACTTGTTGGCAAGGGCGATACCATGCAGGCGACGGTTGATCCCCCTAAAGATGTTCTCGTTGGGCCTTTGCTTTTGTCCGCGAGGGTGAAGCAGTCGGCTAGGCGAGACCAGGGTTGAGTTGCAGCTGCTGTTCACATCCGTCGGAGTCGTCATGGGCGTGGTGTTGATGATCATGGCCTCGCTCATCTTTTGGTATGAATCGCCATGGATTTCAGATAGGACCTCCGTCCCTGGCTCAGGGACGATTGCATCGACTGTGCTGTTGGTATTGTAGGTGCTCTGAATCGCAGTGTTAGTGTTGAAGTGGGCGCTGTGCGACAGGCCCGCTTCCAGACTGTTGGACCGAGAGGGCAGAGCCGATCGATATCCGCCTGGGAACATGTAATCGCCATTGTTATCCGCAGTGTTATGTCGGCTATGAGTCGGACGAATCTTCTTGACAGTTTTCTTTGAGGTGCTCAGCCGATCGAGAACCGACAGTGCATACTTGTTCTCGCTGATACGGTCGGCGTACGCGGTCTGATGGAAATTGGTCGAGATCATGTGGAGAAGGATCTTTTCCACAAAAACCAACGCACATCCGGCCACGATAGTGCCGAGGACCTCAACGAAGATTGGATTCAGCTTTCCATTCGTTCGCGAGAAAGGTGACTTTGACAGGAACGCGAATGACCCGATGGACCAACAGGAAGCCAATAGGAACTTCAGGTACTTTTTGGTGGCAACAAAAACCTAAGCATCGGCGGCAAAGTACATGATATGGTTAGTTATCTGACTGGAACCGCATAGACTACAGTATCTGAACAACGTCATGAGATTGGTACTTACCAGCAACCGAGACTTGAGGTTTTCCAGTCGAGAGCTCGGCAGGATAGAGGAGAAGTGCACGACAAAGACCGGGACAATATCCACGCCCCAATTGGTCAAGAAGACGATGCCCCACATGAATGACAACCAGATAAAGATCAATGTGATCGTGTCCTTGGGTACCTCAGGGTCTGGGTTGTCTTCAGTCGGCAATGGATCGTCATCCATCAGCCTCGATACTAGGATCGCGGGCAGCGCGATGATAGGCGATCCTACTAGGATCATGATCACCATCCGCAGGAAGGGTGACAGCTTCCTCCATTTCGATGTTCCAGCCTTGGTGTTCTTTTTGCGCACCTTCCCTGTCTCGTCAATGTTGATATCTTCGTCCCAATCAAAGTCAGACTCGTCGCTGTTCATGGCCTGTCGAGGCGGGACAAAGTCGTTCATGGCAGCCTCGTCCTGCTTCATGATCCTCTCCATATCAATCTTGGTAGACCCGGAGAGCGGTGGGGTGGTCGGGCCTGAGAAGAATGGCACGGCATTGTGTGGTACGCTCTGCATAGAAGGCGGGCGAGAGTATGTCACAGAGCTCTTGGGGTCTGTATGTAGGGCCACATATTCGGATACGGGCGGCAATGGCGTCCCGCCCCTACCTCCTGCCAGGGGATCACCAGATATCGCAGTTGGAGGATAATTGACCGTCATTGGGGTTTCTATGAGGAGAGGGGCCAAGAAAAGAGGTAAGGAGGATGACAGGAACAAGATCGGCGCTCGCCAAGGGTTCCCACCTGGACCCTCTCTTATATGGCAGCGAGGAGTTGCATGAAAGGGCTAAAGATTGACGCCCCAAGGCGTCTTTAGCATCAATGATAATAGCACTAGATAGTAGTCCCTCCTTTTTAGCGCGAGTAGGAGTGGGAATAGAGTGTGTGTGAGCCCTGATCCCCTTTTAAGATGGACAATCTACTCAATGTTTCCGGGCAAACACCATCGTGGGCCTTACCCATGATCGTTTGTTTTTGTTGCCATGCGCATTTTATTTTGATCTGGGTAACCCCTGTCAATCCTCATTGATATTTGGCACACTAGTGCCATTTTCTCTCACTAGTGATGTGGAAAGCGCATTCCCCAACACGCTCGTCTCCCTCTCCGTGGTCCCTGAAAGTTGATATTTACGTACCTTTCTGACGCCTGAATTTCATGTCGAAGTATCGTCAATATAAGAAGGATATGGTGCGGATTGGGAATATTAGAGGAACGTGGTGGTCAATGAGGACAGACTGTTTGTGCATGAATGGGAAATTAAAAAAAATTGACCGTTGGAATGCGCGATACAAAAAAAAATCAGGTACAGAAAAACGTGCGATGCAGCCAATCACGAATTTGTGAGTGGACTAAGCGATCGTTGATTCGCAAGAAATGAGGTTCGGAATGAGAGAAAAAGAAGAAAGAATGAGAGAAGGGAGGAAAGAGGAAGAAATGAAGGGGAGGGAGAAAGGAGAAGAGTGGTAAAGAGGACTAATTAAACATATCCTGGGGTGATGCTGATGAGGTTGAGATAATAAAGCAGAGAGCAGCATTCCCTCGGACTCATGCTCATATAGTCTAGCGATGGATGGCTCCCAGACCCCGGACCACCTTTCCCCGATTTAAGATTGCGCTACCAAGATGTGAGGAAAAAGAAAAAGAATGTACAGCATGTGGGTGGACTAGGGTTGCTATTTCTCAGATGCCCATGTCTATAAGTCGCGCTAAATACAAAGCAATGTCCTCCCTCCTCCTTTTGCCATCATCATCATCTCCGTCGCCAGCTTGGAAGTCGAGTGCAAGGCATGATCGTGGTCCGCGTCCGGCCCATCGTCCTTGAGCCTTTCTGAGTACCTTTAACCTCAAAGTTCAATGAAGCTCCGGCGTTTGACTGGATGGATGTTCTAACGGCCGAAGGACAGCAAATGCTCTGGCCAATAACTCCTTCACGACAAAATGCAACTGGGAATGGAGAAAGATCCGAGAGTCGCACGACTTTGATGCGCACATATTTCTAGCCTCGTGGTTTTACTGAGGATACTATCGACCTACTCTATACTCAACCCTGAGCAAGGCCTCTCCACTTTTTGTTCCTCAGTAGATAATTCATTCAGGGGTGTATCAAACCTTCACTTTTCCGTGCTCTTCATGCTGCCAATCTAGGTTTCTTAGGCTCCCTTAGCGCCTTTTCACGATACCACGAAGCAAAGCACCCAGGCTGCCTTTGGAACGCCTTTCCTAAGATTCCAAAGGTAATGGTAGCAATGGTAGCACGAGACCCTCAGATCTTACACAGTGCTGAAAATTTCCATGGAGGCGAACCTGTATTTGCTTGTATATCTTTGCTAGGGATGCTTCGAGCGCGTCTCGTACGATGCAAAAAAAATGAGCCATGATGTCATTTGCGTGAGCACGAGAGAAAATGGCGCCCGAGTCCGCTTATCGAGCTATTACCCCATTTTTCCGCCCTCTTCTTGAAATATAGCTTGTCTATCCAGGTCCCTACCTACACATGGCCTTGCGATGGTCGTACCCAGAGTAATCTGTCCGTTTCCAATCCCCGGGGTCACCAAGGCAAGAAAATGCGCTGCCTAGTGATACAAAATCGTTCACAACTCTAAACAAACATATATCGTACATGCATGCATGCCTTTGTCATCCCGATTGAGGACCCAAGATCCTTCGTGTACATTCAAAGAAATATGCAATTGCGAACAGCGAAGGCAAGGAACTGAAGGTCTCGAGCCAAGGCACTAAAGATTTATGTACCAATCCTGCATCCTTTCTCCTTCGAACAGTTTAGTGCCCGTTAAGATGAATCGTTTTTCTTCGGCGGACGCGTAACAAGAAAGGGGGTAATCTATTTGATGATCTGAATTTGCTGGTTCTATTTGACAATCCATCCGGAAATTCATCTGCCACGTTGAGCATGCAAGTCGATTTCCGCAAGATATCCATGTGGTCCGCTTAGTCTGAAATCGAGAGGCCTTTGGCCTTTCCTGTGTTCGCACGGCGCTTGCTTCAATGAGGAGGACGTCTTCACCTTCAGCAAATACACAAAATATCTTACATAGATTTTCTGTAGGAGTTTGTCAAATAAGACTGGCAGCATCAGTTGTCGAGTGTTTTCTCCCAAACAAGAAAAAGCAGGACGTCCCTACATGGCCCACGAGGAAGCAAAAGATGGAGCAGTGGAGAGTCGAACTCCAGGCCTCACGCATGCGAAGCGTGCGCTCTACCAACTGAGCTACAACCCCATTACCAGAAACTCATACTGTATTCTAATTGGTCGGCGAGTTTGGATATCTATTATTATATATATCCATTTCGGTAGCTGCTAGTCTCAGCCGTATTCTCTTGATATTGCCTTTTTTTTTTTTACTCCCGTCCCCCTGGCCCCGTGCTGGGAAAGAGAAAATGGGATCACTACCATGAGCAAACGCGCCCGGAGACGCAACTGTGTTGGAGAGCACAGTCGCAGTGGTAGTGGTTTTGTTGGATCCTCTAGGAGACAACGACGCGTATTGGATGTGAAAGAGATCGAGTGCAACAGGTACAACTGTTTATTCGAGAATGATGTCATGGTCATAACCATGCTGCGCCTAGTCGAGGCGGGCGAGCCTGTGTGGTACAGTAGTATCACGCGAAGCTTCCAGAGAACAGTGCTGTGGATCCTAGTTTCGGATCCAGCTTGGTGCGGTTGTTTTTCGGCACGGGGGGCCGTGTATAAATTACCTTTCGGATCGCGGGCAGCAGGGGATTGGCACCCTCCTGAGAGAATGTTCTATTCTGCTCAGGTTCGCACGCCACCGTGGGCTACGAGGAGATTTTTCAGAACTGTCACTCGGATTTGCCAGAGCCGTTCTCCAGCACTAAGGTTACGGGGGGGACTATTGAGAGAGGAGACTAAATAATTTACTTCAGAAATCACTCGAGGGCCGCAGTAACATCGTAAGGAAGCCGTACATATATGCCGGATCGAAACATAAGTTGAATATTTGCCGAATCAAGTCACACAGGAGAGAGCCAGTCCAAAGGATCAAGATATCAAGTTAGCAGGAACAGGACGACCGAGGCAGGCTTGCGGGAAAATACGCGGGATTTATATGGCGCCTCCTACCATTGTTCGGGACAAACAGGAACATCCTGACCAGCGAGAAATAGTAACCCCCATAAAATAACCAATAAACCCTGGCAAAGATTGTCCATTGGAAAAAAAAAAAAAAAAAAAAAAAAAAAAAAAAAAATAACCATGCTGCGCCTAGTTTCTAGAGCATTCCAACACAACTGTGTCTAGTATATAAGAGCCCTTCAAA